ATGGGCAAATGACGGGAGGGATTGTACTTGATTTTCATATGATGAAGACATAATCTTTCAATCAGTTTAATTGAGGTCTGGAGCTGGCATGTCAGTAACTGCTAGTAGTCCTTTGTTCATTTATGTATCATTGTCATTTTGCTTAGTTTCTTTTGTTACCTATTCTGACATTGGACTCAGACTTCTTTTGGACTGGGTTTTACTGTGCGTATTGCTGTGTTTCTTTGTTCTACATTGGCTAAAGGTATAGGGGGAGGGTTGAGATCTCACAAAACATGTTTAATCCTGCCGCATTTTTGCGCCTGTCCAAAGTCAGGAGCCTCTGGCCTTTGTTAGTCTTGTATGTTTTTTTAATTTTAGTTCATTTATATGTTTTGGAGTTTAGTGTGACGTCCATTTTCACTGAACTAGTACACAATTTTATTTAGGGGCCAGCTGAGGACCACCTCCGGGTGCAGGATTTTCTCGCTGCATTGAAGACCCATTGGTGGCCTTCGGCTGTTGTCTGCTCTTTGGTCGAGTTGTTGTCTCTTTGACATATTCCCCATTTCCATTCTCAATTTTAAGAATGTGTCCATAGTACACGGATGCCCCACTCGTACTATCATTTTCTATGTTCAGTGGACCGTGAAATTTGGGTCAAAACTCTAATTTGGCATTAAAATTAGAAAGAGAATATCATAGGGAACATGTGTACTAAGTTTCAAGTTGATTGGACTTCAACTTCATCAAAAACTACCTTGACCAAAAACTTTCACCTGAAGCGGGACAGACGGATGGACGGACAAACGAACGGAAGCACAGACCGAAAAACATAATGCCCCTCTACTATCGTAGGTGGGGCATAAACAATCCACAGTTTTCTATTTAATGAAATTTGTGACATACTGCGATTAGCGTTCTTGGACACCGCCTATTACTCGTAACCCGAGTATTTGATGCCGTTCTAGTAATCAATCTATATTCTCAGAAGATAATGTTGTCATCATTGAGCAGAAGAATATGTCGACTTATATTACTCGAAGAAAACGAAAACCGAAATTTGAAAAAGGATGTTTTGAATGATACGAAATTATCGGCGGTTACTGGTAACGGAAATGAACAAAATCCGTAAATTTTTGAAAATTTTAAAAATCGGGATGGGCGGGGATGAAAATCTATCAATTAATTATAATCGGCCTAATGTTCATATCAAACACCACATATTAATAGATTATTTCAAAGACATGATAGAAGTGGTTGTTTATTTTTAATTTAACCTGTCCAGGTATTGTTCATAATTGTCTTTTGAAAGTCGAACACATTTCATTTTATTCTCATGAATGGTAACTTTAATAGCTAATCAGTACCCTGATAGCACAACATGTATTGGTGCTTTTTATATCTGGCTCTAGAAGTTAATAAGGGGAATAGGAGATTTTGCAATGAAAAAAAAATATATATACAAGAAAAGTAGAAAAGTTTTATTGTGACGTCCTACCAGTGTATCATGTGTATGCTCCTTGAACTGCTCATTGATGGATAGTCCCAGACATACCCAATGATATTGACGAACAATAAAATAATCATAGTAATCTAGAAACTAAAATTGTTAAAAATACTTCCTACAGAGTGGTAATATGCAGAAACACCTTATAAAGCACCCCCAAAAATAAAGTTTGGCAAGGGTTCCCCTAACCCCGTATGTTTCCTGCCTCCCAACCTAACCTAAATTGTCTTGACGTAATTACCCTTAAGTAAGTAAGTAAAGCTTTATTTAGATTCTGCATATTGTCAAACATTTTAAACATTAGCTCTAATGAGCTTTTAATCTAATATAAAATCATATACAGTAACAAATGAAACAAGCAGCATATGCAAATGAATAATATTTTTTGGACATCATATGTGCAGCGACTGTGAGGTGACCAGCTAGCATAATAAAACCAAAAAATTTTAAATTGCAAAGCAAGCTAGTTTCATTTTAGAATTTTTCTCTGTACAAAATTGCCAAGCCCTGGGACTATTACACTATTAGTATGCCAGACAAGCCAAATGGCTAAAATCAAAAATTACTCAAAATGAAGGTATGGAAAATTGTTAGTATGTTTAATATGGTTAAATAAGAAACAGTTCTCTCTCAAGATTTATATATTAAGATATATTATATAACTGAATGTACAAATCAGAGGCGGATTTAGGGGGGAGGGGGCCCTTTTGTGGGAAAAATTTGGTTGATTATATAGGGAATCACTGAAGCATGACTCGAGCGGCCCCCTCTTAGGCAGTCAGTGGGCCCCCTCTTATGAAAATTTCTGGATCCACTACTGCAAATCCTTGGACTAAGTTATATCCCAGGACTTTGAAATCTTAGCAATAACGGTGTATAAATATGTAAAACTCGAAGCACAGTAGATCACTACTATGATAATCGAGTTTTACATATTTATACACTGTTATTGGCAATATTGCTAAGATTTCAAAGTCCTGTGGTTATATCTAGATGCCACCGTGCATGCAAACGGGTGATTTGTGATATGAACTTTATACCTTTATACCTTTATCTTCGGGTCCTTAAAATAAGCCAAAGGCTTCTACTGACCCCTCATCTTGGATTGTCGTAATGCAATTTCTCCTCTCATAATAAACGCATAATAATATATTTATATATATTATACTTATAAAAATAGAACTTATTTAGGTGTGCGCAGCTTAACAATTAACATGAACATATAAATTTATATGGGTTCCAATTCTCGCCATTTAACGCTGACTTAAATTTATTCAAAGTCTTTGCCGTCACTGTTAAATCTGACAGGTTATTCCACTGATCCACTACTCTAATTGAAAAAGTATTTAGTCTATGTGTCGTCTTACACTGTTTCTTAAAGAGTTTTAATGAGTGACCTCTAGTATTATTAGATGGTGCTAAAGTAAATAAGCTCATCCAGTTTATATCATATATACCATGCAACACTTTATATACTTGAATTGATAATGAAATGACCCCATGTTTTAAATCATTTATAGGGGTTAGACAAGGTGATGTTTTAAGCCCAAATATTTTCAAAATATTTATTAATGATCTACCTGACAAGTTTTTGTCATGTCCTGATCCAGTAACTATTAATAACCGTAGAGTAGATTGTCTTATGTATGCTGATGATGTCGTAATTTTTTCAGAAACACAGGAAGGTTTGCAAAAGAGAATTAATATGTTACATGAATATTGTTTAGAATGGTGTTTTGATGTTAATCTAAAAAAGACAAAAAGTATAATTTTTAACAAGCCAGGAAAATTCTTAAAATGCTGTTTACATTTTGGAGGTAAAGAGATAGAATGTGCAAAATTATATAGATATCTCGGAATCACATTTACATCTAGTGGTATATTCAAGCAGTGTAAAGATGAATTATACAACAAATCTTTAAAAGCATGTTTTAAGCTACAGAGATGCTTGTCATCATCTAACCCTAGTATTGCCACTTTTTTACATCTTTATGATCATACAATTAAACCCATACTATTATATGGCAGTGAAATATGGGGAATGTTTCGTACTGATTCAGCTGCATGTAAAAAAGATAATGATTATATATTGAAAAAAGTTTTTGGTCAGGATTCCTCTGAAAAAGCTCATAACAAATTTATGAAATATATTCTTGGTGTAAACAGAAAGTCCAGTAACATAGCTGTGATGTCAGAGCTTGGTAGATTTCCTATTTATTTTACTATAATTTTATCAATGTTAAAATATTGTCATAGACTGGAAGGTTTGAAAGAAGGATTATTATTTGATGCATTCATATGTTGTAAACAATTACATATTTCTAATGTAAATACATGGTACTCTAGTATAGATTATATTCAGAGAGAGATTGATTTACCAAATTTTGACCAATCAATTGGTTCTTTATGTCAGTATGTTAAAAATAAACTATGTGAAAGTTATTTAACATTTTGGAATAGACTGAAGTATCAAACAATTAACTCTGAAAAAGGGAAGCTTGGTACTTATTTTTCTATAAAAAATTGTTTTAAAAAAGAAAAATATTTAGAACTACAGGATTTTAAAAAAAGACAGTCAATTTGTAAATTAAGAATAAGTGCTCACCCCCTTAAAAATTGAGACAGACAGATATTCAAAAAAATATATAGAAAGATCTGAGCGTCTTTGTTCAAATTGCTCACTTGGTAAAGTTGAAGATGAGCTTCATTTTTTGTTAGAATGTCCTCTTTATGATACTCAAAGGGAAGACTTTTTTCAATACATATCTGACAATTGTTATAATTTAAAAAATTTAAATAAATCTTCTAAATTTTTATGGCTCTTGACTCAAGAAAATGTAACTCTTATGGAAAAACTGGGCTGTTATATTTGTGACTGTTTTGAATTAAGGAGATCAGGTATGCATATTGACACTAAGTCAAGTAAATGATTTGAGAATGAAAGCATATAATGTAATTTTATTCTTTTATTCACATTTATATATGCATGTGGTTTTTGGCTCTGATTCTGACCAATGCTAATATACTAAATATATATTTTCAAGTGACTATTATTGTTGTTGTTACCATTTATGTAAATCAATTGTATCTGATTTTATGCCCTTTATGGGCCCTGTAATTTGGGAAATAAAAAAATATTCTATTCTATTCTATTCTATCATATCAACTTAATAATGAAGTATTGTCCTCCTTCTTTATTCATGATACACAATCTTACTCACTTCTTCACTTTTCCTCAAATATAACATATTTGCTTTTAAATTATATCTACATGAATACACACTAGCAAATTGACAGACGACCTGACACCTGTCAGCTTACTGAAGTCGCTTGTATCACTCAAGGTCGTTTAAATCAATTATTATCGACATAGTAATAACCACTTTTTCCCAAACCCTTTTTTTGAATTTTTATGTTTAAATTTTTTAAATTAAAATCCTACTGATTTTTTTGTGATATTTGTTGTATTTCAAAAAAATCTGCAATATCCTTGGTTTTCAATGTGGTAAACGGCTTTGGGAGACATGTTGAAAAACAGAGCGAAGTTGTGAAATTTCTTTGAAAAACGACGTAAATAGTAAAGAGGCGACACAAAAGGTAAGATAAACAGATTTACTAGTAAAAAAGACATCATATGTGATTATTGTTTAAATAGAATATAGCTTTTCTAATACAAAATTAAAAGGTAAAGTTATCAACTGACTGTGACCTAGTTTCGTTTGTTTGGGTCCTTTGTTTACAAATTTCTACAGCTGATTTGATTTGTGGTAATCACGGTAACAGCTAGCAAATTGTCTTTTTTTTATTTATCCCACTGCATGTCATACAATAGAATTAATGTGAGATTGTTTGCACCTCATCAATTTTTAGGCAGTTAAGCTGCCTTATGCGAGCACCCTAGATTTGTGTTCTACCCAATAAATGCTGAAATACGTGCCATTGTTATTATCTAGCTGGATATAATGTTATTTATAACTAATTGAATAGTTTTTTCATACTTTTAATTCTGGATTACAAAAATATGACCAGAAAAAACCTTAAATGATCGTCGAACCACCCAAAAGTTTTGAAGTTGCACATAGGAAGTAGAGCACATTAGGAATCCTTATGTAGTTTATTATCCCCTGTGCTTTTGGCTAAGATGTCAAAGAACAATTGTATGAAATATTTAATCGCCGAAAATCTTTAAAGACAAGTAGTTTAGATTTCCCAATTGGCAAAAGTCGTAGGAATATTGTTTGTCGTCAATACGTGTTACAACTACGTCAGTAGTCTATCAATAAGTTCCACTGTTCATGCTGTTGGCGGCAATTTCAAATTAGAAGACGAAATTTTCGTATCTTTTCAATTTGGAGGCAGGGGTTCAAATTAGCGGTGGTCCGAGGTCCGCGACCTTCCACTTTTGCAATCGGACTCTCGACTTGGTTACTATCTACGCCCGACGGACCTTTCACTTGAAAGAAAATTAAAAATAACTTTGCAAACCTTTTTACCAAAGTCTCTAAATAAACGATCTCAAAACGTATTTTCATCTTTATTATTCATGACAGCGATGTTCATTTTGTTCAACCGCTAGCTTTATACAGATAATCGCCTACAAGTAATGTGTAAATTCGAGTAAAATCGTATCTGACTGACAAAAACAACATTGAAAAACAATGGATGCCATGTAGACAATTACAATATCGGGTCCGATTCCGGAAGCGGATAAGGGTAATTCCGGGTTTTGGAGATCAACTACAAAAAAAAATTTCAGGCAGGTGACAAAATACATCTATGCATGGTAAATAAATATAAACACTAGAAATGGAAACCAAAAGATATATGTAATAGAAAGAAAAAGCAAAAAATATTTGATACAGAAACTCAAAATTACTTTTTGACAAATTTTAATGTCAAAATCCAATACAATGTGACAGCTGGGAACAGTATATCTAACAATATATATGTTCCTGGTGACAGTATAAATCTTCTTTATCAGTGATAAATGTTGATAATGCATGTAAGATGCTTTTAAAGTGTAAACATATTACTGCAATTTTTTTCTCAATTTTGAAGGGTCAGTTAACATAGCTGGAAGTTTCTTACTTTGTTTTCGCAAATAGTGCAACTAGATTATATGATACCTGAATGTAAGCAAATCATATGATATATAGGTGGAATCCTTTGGGTCACTCTACCCCCTCCTGTTTGATAACTTTGAAACGGATGAGATCCCCACCCCTAAACCATATATATTCATGTATGGGACTATATAACTAATCAAATGAAATATAGGGGCAAGTCCCTAGGGTTACCCCACCCCTCCTGTTTGAGAACTTGGAAACAGTCGAGATCCCCACCCCTAAACCATATATATTCATGTATGGGACAATATAACTAATCAAATGAAATACAGGGGAGTCCCTGGGGTCACCCCAACCCTCCTGTTTGGGAACTTTGAAATGGTCGAGATCCCCACCCCTAAACCAAATATATTCATGTATGGGACAATATAATAAATCAAATGAAATATAGAGGGAGTCCCTGCGGTCACCCCACCCCTCCTGTTTGAGAATTTGGAAACGGTCAAGATCCCAAGACAAGACAAGACAATTTATTTAAACTTAAGCACACGTATGGTGCTACAAGAGGATAACAATTATACATTAACAATTACATATATATACTTATACATTTACAAGCAAGACACACAATAAATAAATAAGTGATATCATACAATAAAATTGAAATAAACCATAGTTGGTTGATTTGTTTGCAAAATTCTTAATTGCAACGTGGATATGAAGTTATTGTAACATGCTTTGTATTATGAAAATATTTTTTCAATATGTCTTAGAAACATGCACACTTTTGTTAGCAGTGGCACGTTACAGTGTGATAATAGACCAGTAAGTTTCAATTGGGAAGGATTTTGTGTGTAATATGTAAGTATATATCTTTCTCTTAAAGACATAATTTGTTCATTGGAGCATACAAAAAAATAATGATCCCATAAACCATACATATTCATGTATGTGACAATATAACAAATGAAATGAAATATAGGGGGAGTCCTTGGGGGTCACCCCACCCCTCCTGTTTGAGAACTTGGAAACGGTCGAGATCCACCCCTTAACCATTTATATTCATGTATGGGACAATATAACAAATCATATGAAATATAGGTTGAGTGCTTGGGGCCACTCTACCCCTTCCTGTTTGAGAATTTGAAAACGGTCGAGATCCCCACCCTAAACCATATATATTCATGTATGGGACAATATAACAAATCAAATGAAATATAGGGGCAGCTCCTATGGTCACTGTAAACCATCCTGTTTGAGAACTTGGAAACGGTCGAGATCCTCACCCCGAAACCATATATACTCATGTATGGGACTATATAACAAATCAAATGAAATATAGGGGAGTCCCTGCAGTCACCCCACCCCTCCTGTTTGAGAACTTGGAAACAGTCGAGATCCCGACCTCTAAATTAAACCATATATATTCATGTATGGGACAGCAGAACTTATCAAATGAAATATAGGGAGAGTCCTAAGGTTCACCCTACCCCCTCCTGTTTGATAACTTGGAAACAGATGAGATCCCCACCCCTAAACCATATATACTCATGTATTTGGCAATATAACAAATCAAATGAAATATAGGGGAAGTCACTGGGGTCACCCCACCCCATCCTGTTTGAAAACTTGATAACGGTCGAGATCCCCACCCCTAAACCATATATATATTCATGTATGGGACAACATAAAAAATCAAACGAAATATAGGGTTAGTCCCTAAGGTCACCCCATCCCCTCTTGTGTGTGTTTTAAGAACTTGTAAAAGTTTGAGATACCAACTCCTAAACCATATTCATTCCTGTTCGTCATTTCAAACAGATTTGAATGACATACAAGGTCAATCTCATAGGCATCACATATGCATATCACTTTACTAGACCTAATCAATGTGTACTAGACTTTGCCCAATGTCAGGCGACCATGGGAATGAATAATTATGGCAGCTTTGTTTGGGAGACTTCGTAACAGCATTCTGTTACAATTATTTCTTGTTTATTATAAAATTTTATTGATGCAGAAAATGAGTAGGTTTAAAGAATTTACCTTAATTATATTTTGAATAATTTCTGGTTCTATAAAAAATTTCATTTTAATATGGCTCATTTTAAAGAAAACATATCTTTCAAGCCCAAGAGTGTTTGACCAACTTTATTATAATCACCTGTCATTTTATTCCAAACTTAGACATCATGGACTTGGGGTGAAGGCGGGGGTCATTTACATTTACTATGGGCAGGTCAGTCAGACCTCACCTTTGATCCCCGTAGTAGTAAACATTTGTCTGATTTGTGTCTCATAACTTTTGCACTGTAGAACACAAACTCAGTTTTCTTTCCAGGGAAGCAAGTCCATGCATACTATTACAAGCTCGTACTAAGTCAACTTGAACTACTAACAGTCAACTAATACCAACGTTAACTATCAACTAGAACAACTGCAATCATTTCGAACTTGTACCACTGCAGACACATGACCATTAAAAATATACTTGATATATGCGTTGCTTTTGAAAACCTTGATAAAATATGAATTATTTGCCTTAATAATAAATTCATTAAATGAACATAAATGCACAATATATGAATGTTTAATGTTTGTTCTTTTAAATCTTAAAAAAAATGAAGCAACATAGCCACAGTTTTCATAAGTATGTTTGCCTTGGTTTTTGGTTAACTGCCTACAGCGCTTACAGTGCTTTGATTTCTTTTAATATTATACCTGAAAAGTCGTTTTACTGTAAAGTGTAAGTAAATACTAGACGTAAAAAGGCCAAGCATTTATTTTTTGTCGAATCTTTACAAACATGTAAAAAAGTCTCATTTATGTACTTTTTAAGTTTCATTGCAAAGAATTGACGGATCAACTGAACTTGGCGACCACAATACTTGTATACTAGTATTGTCAACAATTCTGTATATAATGTACAAGTATTGTACAAAAAATTTTAAAAATCAATAGGGTTTGTTATTATTCATTGATGTGTTTTATTAACAACTTGTTGGTGTTTTTTTGTTCTAATTTAGGCAGATATAAAAATGTATGTTGCTTTATACTTTTATATATTTATTCAAGATAAAAAGGCATGAATGTGACGGATACAAAATATTACAAAGACACAGATATAGCACTAGACACAGTTTATAGACACTAAAATGATATACATGTTTACTAAAAATTTTAATTTAAAAAATAAGATTATGAAAATCTTCATGATATTTTGATAATATGAATAGACTAGATTTTATTTATTCATGAAAACAAAAACATACTTAAATTAATCTGGGACTATTATACTAACAGTATAATAGACCCAAAATTAATACACAAGAAAATATGTACAAAGAAATCACAATAATAAATCAGAAACGTTCATATGCTGCAGCTGTAAGCAGGGTGATTCTCATCTGGTCAATTGTCTTTGTGTCCATGTCTGTATGCTGACGCATGATGTTGATGAATTATAGTCATTTCGTACCCTGACCATTTCGTTACAAAAAATGAATAAATGTTTCTAATTTTCTATCGTGAAATACATATTTTTCAAATCATTACATTACTTTTGAATATTTTCGAGTAAAGGCAGTAATAATTACTCTACTTCAATGTATTTATATTTTATATAAACAATTCTATGACAATATTCGTACACAATACTTGTACATTTTGTACATAAATTATATACGAGTATTGTTGACAATACTAGTATACAAGTATTGTGGTCGCCAAGTTCAGTTGATCCGAATTGACAAATATGGCTGTGTTTACACCTCAAATTCTACTCTTTGAGTAGACATGTAAGCGTAGTTTTATTCCAGCGTGTAGATTTTCTGATTAGAAAATTTACACGTGTGTTGTTTTTCCGTAATTAGCGTGAAACAACAAACACACATTTAAATTTTGTTTATTTTGATTATCAATTAAAGAGTTCTAAATTATAAATTTTACGGGACGTATTATGGTATACCGTTGTCCGTCTGTCTGTCCGTCCATCGTCAACATGTTGGACATTAACTCAAAAAAGCTTTAACCAATTTGCATAAAATTGACATGAGCTCCCTTTCGTTTTTTATAAATTTTAGATTTTACATTTCCGAGTTATGGGGTTTTATTCATTAAAAAAAGGGGGATTTTCCAGTTTTTGGACAATAACTCAAGAATGCTTTCACCAACTTGCAAGAAATTGTGGTGAATTGTTTATATCTATTGACATGAGCTCCCTTTCGAATTTTATATATTTTAGACTTTATGTTTCCGAGTTACAGGGTTTTAATCATAAAAAAAGGGGGATTTTCCAGTTTTCGGACAAAAAATCAAAAATGCTTTCAGCAGTTCTTATGAAACTTTGGTGAATTGTTAACATCTATTGATGTAAGCTCCGTTTAGAATTTTAGAAATTTTACATTTTACATTTCTAAGTTATGGGGTTTTAGTCATTAAAAAGGGGGGATTTTCCAGTTTTCGGACAATAACTCAAAGTGCTGTCAGCGATTCTCAAGAAACTTTGGTGAATTGTTTATATCTATTGATGTAAGCTCCCTTTACATTTTCATAAATTTCTAATATGACATTGAGAATTAATTGAACTTTAATTGTTTATAGTCTGACAACAGATTTACTAAGTTTTGCGCAACAGCACAGTGTATTGCACAACAGCAAGAAATCTTTAATTGAATATAAATTCAATTCATATAACCAATTTCGAATTCTTTGACTACATTTATTCAGAAACCTATAATATGTCAAATATTTAATACAATCCAAATTCAGACCTGTATCAAGCTTGAATATTGTGTCCATTTTTGCCCCAACTGTTCAGGGTTGGACCTTTGCGGGCGTATCCAGCTGCGCTCAGCGAAGCAGTTTATTAGATAATAAGGACATACTATGTAGTTGTGCATATCAACAGGAAATTACGATTCAATTCTTTTTCTAGGAGTTACGCCCCTTTGAACTTATTTACTTTAATGTACTACTGCAACAGTTTGTCATCGCAACTCCTCTCAAACCACACAACAGAATTTCATGAAAACTTTTCAGATAATAAGGACATACTACGTAGATGTGCATATCGACAGGAAATTACGATTCAATTTTTTTTTCAGGAGTTACACCCCTTTGAACTTATTTGCCCAATATACTACTGCAACCTTTTGTCATCGCAACTCCTCTCAAACCACACAACAGAATTTCATGAAACTGTGCAGATAATAAGGACATACTATGTAGATGTGCATATTGACAGGAAATTATGATTAAATTTTTTTTTCTGATACAATTTTTTTTTCTTACACTTATTTTATTTCTCCAATGACAATGTGGGGACGTGGGGTATGTGAGCACGCTCACTAAGGTTCTTTCATTTTACCAGGATAAATTACACTATTGTAAAATTACCACATGTAAATTTTATTTTTTACATGCTGATTTTGTTATCTTTTAAACTATTTTTTTTAACCCCCCAAAAAAAGCCCATGCCCCTTTTTATACGACCGCAAAAAATTTTGTGGTCGTATATTGGTATATATGGCGTCGTCGTCATCCGAAGACACATTGGTTTTCGCACTCTAACTTTAGTTTAAGTGAATGGATCTCTATGAAATTTTACCATAAGGTTCAATACCACAAAAGGAAGGTTGGGATTGATTTTGGGGGTTAAGGTACCAACAGTTAAGGAATTAGGGACCAAAAAGGGGCCAAAAATAAGCATTTTTGTATCTTCCAGACATAACTTGTGTGTTAGTGTATGGATCTCTCTGACATTGTACCACAAGGTTCCATATCACAAAGGGAATGCTGGGATTGATTTTGGGGAATTAGGGGCCATAAAAGGGGCAAAAAACAAGCATTTTTCTAGTATCATGATAATAACTTGTGTGTAAGTGTATGGATCTTTCTGAAATTGTACTACAAGGTTCCATATCACAAAGGGAAAGCTGGAATTGAGTTTTGGGGTAATTGCCCAAAACGTTTGGAATAAGGGGCCAAAAATAAGCATTTTTTTAGTTTCCAGACAATAACTTGTGTTCAAGTGTATGGATCTCTCTGAAATTGTACTGCAAGGTACCATACCACAAAGGGAAGGCTGGGATTGATTTTGGGGGTAATTGCCTAAAAATTTTAGGAATTAGGCACCAAAAAGGGGCAAAAACAAGCATTTTTCTAGTTTCAGGACAATAACTTGTGTGTAAGTGTATGGATCTTTATGAAATTGTACTACAAGGTTCCATATCACAAAGGGAAAGCTGGGTTTGAGTTTGGGGGTAATTGCCCTAAATGTTTAGGAATTTGGGGCCTAAAGACGAGCATTTTTCTAGTTTCCAGATAATAACTTGTGTTCAAGTGTATGGATCTCTCTGAAATTGTACTGCAAGGTACCATACCACAAAGGGAAGGCTGGGATTGATTTTGGGGGTAATTGCCTCAAAAGTTTAGGAATTAGGGACCAAAAAGGGGCAAAAAACAAGCATTTTTCTAGTTTTAGGACAAATACTTGTGTTCAAGTGTATAGATCTCTCTGAAATTGTACTGCAAGGTACCATACCACAAAGGGAAGGCTGGGATTGAGTTTGGGGGTGATGAATTATAAGGGGGTTCAAAAAATTTGGGGGAGGGAATTTTTTTTTCTTTAAAATTTTCCATTTTAAATTGGTTATTTCTGATTTATATATAAAAGCAAATAATAATGATATGGTTTGAATAGGTAAATTAAAAAATTTTAAGTTCTTAGACCACATTCATGTCAGAAACCTATGCTGTGTCAAATATTTAATCACAATCCAAATTCAGTGCTGTATCAAGCTTGAATGTTGTGTCCATACTTGCCCCACCTGTTCAGGGTTCGACCTCTGCGGTCGTATCAAGCTGTGCCCAGCGGAGCATTTTATTTTTAATAGTCCCCCATTAAAACTTAGAGTGTTTTGGATACACAAATAAACAAAGGATGACTTACGCTAAGCATGGAAAAAGTAACTTAGTGCAATAATTCCTTTGGAAATTATACTCTAGTGTAACTTGTCCTCTGGAAAAAAAAATACACTGGTGGAAGGAATACTCTGTTACAAAAAGTCAGGTAATTTTCTGTTGCATCTTGTCCCAGGTGTCCTATATAAATTTATTCAATAAAGTAATTTAAAATATATCTGTCAGTAGTCCTTTTCCAATTTTTATGCCCCAGCTGTAGTGGAGGGGACATTAAGTTTTACCCTTGTCCGTCTGTACGTCCGTCCCTATGTCCCAAAATTGGTTTCCGTTCTCTAACTTTAGTTTGCCTCAACCAAATGTTATGAATCTTATACACAATGCTTATTACCACAAAACACAGATCCAGTTTGAATTTTGATGCTGTTACTTTTACCGTTCTAGAGTTATGCCCCTTTACAAATGGAAATATATCTGAATTTTTTGTTTCTGTTCTCTTAAGGTTTGCCTCAACCAAATGTTGTGAAACTTATACACAATGCTTATTACCACAAACCACAGATCAAGTACACATTTGGGTAGCGTCACTTATACTGTTCTTGAGGTTTGTCCCTTTATAACGTTATATGCAAGCGGGGGCATCATCTGTGTCCCATGGACACATTCCCCATTTTTTTTGTCTTATTGTACATGTGTTGTAAGTGTACAAATTGTCCAACAGATGACAGTCCAAAAATTAAAAAAACATTGATGTGTCTTGCATCATTTCTCCCTAGGAAGTGGTGAAACGATTGATCAATAAGTCACAGACATACATGTAGGATAACAATGCTTGGTTTGAAATTCTTCGAGCCCTGAAAAATTGGTATATGTGGGATTTCTACGTATACACAAACATAAACTTCCTAGTTATTTGCATGTACACATCTTCATACTGCTTTCACTTCCTTGATTCATAAGAAGAGCTCTGTTGTTTGTGTACTACCAAGTATCACAAGTTTTCCTGTCACTGCAACTATTCAGGATAATACTGTATGGAGAACAGTTGTGTGTTAACATATGCCACCACCCACAACTGCATGATACTGAATGAAGAGAACGGACAGTCACAGTATGCAACATGATCACCATGATCCATTTTGAAATTTATTTTTTACAGGTTAAAATGTGTACGGGTTTTGTTGGAAGTATAGTGTCTTTGGACTGTGGTGAGACTCTGGGTACTTACCAAGGTCTGGTCTCCAAAATTGACGAATCAACTCAGATGGTATCAATCACTCAGGCCTACAGAAATGGTGTAAAATGTGATGTACAAGGCATTACAATCAGGTAAGGATAAACCAGCACTTCTGTTTTGATAAATCATGACATTGTTTGAGAAATTTTAATTCATCTGCTTTGTAACAAATTAACCATGAAATTGTGATGTGCATAAATGCATTTCTGGTTAAATTCAAAGAACATTTTCAATTCTAAGTTAATATCCTGAGAGAAAGAATGTACATCTGAAGGCCAATCCAACCCCTCCTTGAATTTGAAAATCAAAAAAGTAATATATACCTATCTGATTATATCCTTCACAAAAAGTAATATATACCTATCCGATTATATCCTTCACAAAAAGTAATATATTCAATGCACCTATCTGATTGTATCCTTCACAAAAAGTAATATAACCTATCTGATTGTATCCTTCACAAAAAGTAATAATATACCTATCTGATTATATCCTTCACAAAAAGTAATATATACCTATTCGATTATATCCTTCACACTGGACTAAACTTTGTTGGACATTTATCAGTATTTGGATTTTTATGCCCCCGCCGTACCGGAGGGGGCATTAAGTTTTACCCTTGTCCGTCTGTACGTACGTACGTCCCGAAATTGGTTTCCGTTCTCTAACTTGAGTTTGCCTCAACCAAATGTAATGAAACTTATACACAATGCTTATTACCACAAAACACAGATCAAGTTTGAATTTTGGTGGCGTCACTTTAACCGATCTAGAGTTATGCCCCTTTATAAAAGGAAATATTGCATAATTTTTAGTTTCCGTTCTCTAACTTAAGTTTGCCTCAACCAAATGTTATGAAACTTATACACAATGCTTATTACCACAAAACACAGATCAAGTTTGAATTTTGGTGGTGTCACTTTAACCGATCTAGAGTTATGCCCCTTTATAAAAGGAAAAATTGCAAAATTTTTATTTTCTTCTAAATATCAAGTTTATATAATATATTTTTAAAATTGGAGTTATCTTCCTTTGACCATGATTATAGTTGAATCAACTACAATCAATGCTTTATACAATGCAATGTTTAATTTTGACTACCACTGATAAAACACAGATCAAGTTGAATTTGGGTAGTGTCACTTTAACCATTATTGAGTTATGCCCCTTTATAAATAGAAAGATTGCAAAATTTTTTAGTTTCCATTCTGTAACTGAAGTTTTCCCCAGCCAAACATTGTGAAACCTATACACAATATTCATTCCAACAAAACTCAGTAAAGATCAAGTACATTTTTTTTGTTTCAGTTCTCTAACTTGAGTTTGCCTCAACCAAATGTTATGAAACTTATACACAATGCTAATTACTACATAATACAGATTAAGTACGAAATTAGGTGGCAACACTTTTACCATTCTAGAGTTATGTCCCATTATAAACATAAAAATTGCTGAATTTTTTAGTTTGTCTCATCCAAATGTTGTAAAACTTATACACAACCGTTCTAGAGTTATGCATCATTACAAATAGAAAAATTGCTGAATTTTTAGTTTCTGTTCTCTACTTAAGTTAGCCTCAACCAAATGTTATGAGACTTACACACAATGCTTATTACCACAAAACTCAGATCAAGTTCAAATTTGGGTAGTGTCACTTTTACCGTTCTTCAGTTATGTCCCTTTATAACTATATGATATGCAAGCGGGGGCATCATCTGTGTCCACATGTGGACACTATCCACATTTATTTTTCAATATTTCATCTTTCATATTTGTATTAGAAGGCTTTACTCACTGATTTCAAGAAAAAAAAGAGCAAAACCTGACGTAGCATCATTCTGAGATCTTTTCATCATTACTTAGGTACATGTATTAATTAAACTGATGAAGGTCTCAATCACTAATTGTTACATGACAATATATACTGCTCTATTATATTGACCTAATGAAAGTCTCAATCACTAATTGTGACATGACAATACTGCTCTATTAATGGCCTAATGAAAGTTCAAACATCAATCAAACAAATGATTTTGATTTACTCTTTTCACAGTGGCAGTGATATAAAGGAGTTAAAAATCATCAAAAACAAGGAAGAGGCAAATGTAGTTTTAAAGGAAGCTACACCATCAAAGCTTTTAACAGTTAGTTATAACTCAGAATGTCCTTCTCCTGTTAAAGTATGCAGTTTGGATACATTCATATTTCCAGAAGAAAATGGTCCCAATGTACAAAATAGTGCTCCTAGAAATGGATACAGAAAAAATGGCTACAAACATATATCTAATGGGCAGAGAATATCTCCTCCAAATGGACAAAGAATATCTCCTCCAAATGGACAAAGAGTTTCTCCTCCAAATGGACAGAGAATTTCTCCTCTAAATACTCAAAGATTATCTCCCCCTAATGTTGGCTACAATAATAGACAATCACCAGCAAATGGTCAATATCAGCAAAGATATTCTCCTAATGAATGTAATGGCAACAGGAGGTCTCCTTCTGATATGAATGGTAAATACAAAGCCAGATATTCACCAAATAACATTCTTCAAGAGAGAAACCATACACCAACATATGATAATGGAAGAAATCCTGATAGTTACACACCTTCAAAAGAGGACCAAGGAATGAGACCTCGTCTCAACTCTGGTAAGTTAAATACCTACTTAAAAGTGTCTAGCAATTAAACTGTACTCTGGTAAGAATTTCATATTATTATACGACCGCAAAAAATTTACATAGTATAATGGTATAATGGTATCATGTCATCATCGTCGTCCGAAGACACATTTGGTTTCCGGACAATAACTTTAGTTTAAGTGAATGGATCTCTACCAGAATAAATAAATTTTACCAGAAGGTTCAATACCACAAAAGGAAGGTTGGGGCTGATTTTGGGGGTTATGGAACCAACAGTTTAGGAATAAGGGGCCAAAAACAAGCAATTTTGTAGTTTCCGGATAATCTGAAATTGTACTTGTGTTCAAATGTATGGATCTCTCTCATATTCTACTACAAGGTTCCATACCACAAAGGGAAGGCTGGGATTGAGTTTGGGGGTAATTGCCCCAAATGTTGTGTTAGAAATTAGGGGCAAAAAAGGGGCCAAAAACAAGCACTTTTCTAGTTTCCAGACAATCTGAAATTGTACATTTTTCCTGAAAAGAATATAATCTTCAAAATTTCAAAGGGTGAGGCTTGGCACCTTCAAACTAGTTCAACCCCGCCACATTCTATATGTGCCTGTCCCAAGTCAGGAGCCTGTAAATGAGTGGATGTTTTTTGCTGTCTCTCATATTTTTTTTTCGTTTATTGTTTTGCATAGTTTGTTATTATGTTGTGCTGTTACACCACTGTCCCAGGTTAGGGGGAGTTGAATTACCTTGCAGTCATTTTAACTCAAATTGTTCTCTGATTTCAGCCAATGAAAATCGGAATAAGAAACCATCAACTCCAAGAAAGATAGATTTTCGTAAAAGATCACAGTCAAGGGATGATTGTTGTTTTAGTGCTCCAACACAGTCTTGCATGGCTGAATTTGATTTTGAAAAAAATTTGGCTTTGTTTGACAAAAAAGCTGTTTTTCAAGAAATAGAAAACTCTGGACCAGAAATAATACGGGCCAATGAACCGAAAAAGCCACTTAAGTACAGACATGATGAAAATGTGCTTGAAACCAAAAAGTCAGTTCTCCAGCAGATCAAAGTACCAAATGGACATGGCATGTCTCAATTATTTGTTACAGGTAAATAAAAAGGGCATATCTCAGTTATTTGTTACAGGTATATAAAAAGGGCATGTCTCAGTTATTTGTGATAGGTAAATAAAAAGGGCATGTCTCAGTTATTTGTTACAGGTATATAAAAAGGGCATGTCTCGGTTATTTGTGATAGGTAAATAAAAAGGGCATGGCTCAGTTATTTGTTACAGGTAAATAAAAAGGGCATGTCTCAGTTATGTTACAGGCAAATAGGGAATTTCTCAGTGAAGTTTCAGTAATATATTAATGTAATGCAGGAAAAACGAAAAGGAAATGTCTCATTTATATGTAACAGGTAATTGAAAAGGGGATTTCTCAGTTATGCTACAGGTAAATTTATAAAAAGGGAATGTCTCAGTTAGGTGTTGCAATTAAAAAAAAGAATATTCAAATTATGCAACAGTATAATGGACGAGATATTATACAGTGGAAAAGGCATTTCTCAATTACATGTTTTTGTACGAGTAAGTTGACAGGCCATCTCACTGAAGAAAGATATAATAAGATATTTTATGTTGAAATTATGTATGAACATGTTCATATGATATTTTAACAAATCAGGAAGTTTATTTTTTTTCTACTCTTGTCTGGTATATATTCAGACCATCTGAAGTACAAATGTATATGTTTACAGTAAATGAACTATCCATTGAACAAGAACTGAACAGAAATCATCAGAATAATACAATTGTCATTTCAGATACAGGGCTAGTTGTTCCTAGTATTTCACCCGACTTAAGAAGTCGCTTATTTTCTACTGCTGAGAAGTTTGGGTTTACTCAAGAGAGACAGATAGAAATGGTTGGACGTTCAGCTAGTGAAATGGTTCTTCAGCTTCTCGGAGGCCCACACAGGTATTGATTAACTGTCGAAGCTTTCTGAGTAGTAAAATCATTTAAACCTCTCCTCCATAAAGGCACCATAATATTTCTTTTGAAAATTAAAATGATTAACTATTTATCAAGGTAAGAAAAAAATTCTTGATGATTTTTGAAAGGAGAGTAACCATAAATCTTGAACTCCCAAAATATTTTATATTTATTTAAATGTAGAAAACACTGGTTAACTAGTATCCTTTCCTGAGGTTTTGTTCTGGCTGTTCTCTGACAGACTCAATATATTACAGACTTACAAAATGTTCTTGCTTAAACTATTTTTGGGCTAATAGAACCAGCATACTTTTAAGAATATAGATTAACTCATAGATTGTTTGTTACTTGGTGAAGAATCGCCTATATAGTTCTAAATACTGTTTGTTTATCTTACACATGTAACAATCGCTAAGTTAAAAAATGCTTACAATTTTAGATTAAATCCAAACAATGGGCATCAGGTGCCTACAGTAGTGCTATTATGTGGGCCACACCTTCAGGGAACTCAGGCTATTAACTGTGCCAGACATCTGTCCAACCATAACGTTAATGTCTATCTAGTCCTGCCAAACTTTATCAAAATGAACAAATATATGGAGGAGGAACTTAAACTGTATGCTTTCTGTGATGGCAACAGGATCTCAAATCTTAAAGGTGAGAACAGTGGCAACAGGATCTCAAATCTTAAAGGTAAAAACAGTGACAAGCTTAACATAAAGATAATGGTCATCTCAACAGGATCTCAAATCTTAAAGGTAAAAACAGTGACAAGCTTAACATAAAGATAATGGTCATCTCAACAGGATCTCAAATCTTAAAGGTAAAAACAGTGACAAGCTTAACATAAGGTTAATGGTCATTTCAACAGGATCTCAAATCTTAAAGGTAAGAACAGTGACAAGCTTAACATAAGGTTAATGGTCATTTCAACAGGATCTCAAATCTTAAAGGTAAAAACAGTGACAAGCTTAGCATAAAGATAATAGTCATTTCAACAGGATCTCAAATCTTAAAGGTAAAAACAGTGACAGGCTTAACATAAAGATAATGGTCATTTCAACAGGATCTCAAATCTTAAAGGTAAAAACAGTGACAAGCTTAACATAAAGATAATGGTCATCTCAACAGGATCTCAAATCTTAAAGGTAAAAACAGTGACAAGCTTAACATAAGGTTAATGGTCATTTCAACAGGATCTCAAATCTTAAAGGTAAGAACAGTGACAAGCTTAACATAAGGTTAATGGTCATTTCAACAGAATCTCAAATCTTAAAGGTAAAAACAGTGACAAGCTTAACATAAGGTTAATGGTCATTTCAACAGGATCTCAAATCTTAAAGGTAAGAACAGTGACAAGCTTAACATAAGGTTAATGGTCATTTCAACAGGATCTCAAATCTTAAAGGTAAAAACAGTGACAAGCTTAACGTAAAGATAATGGTCATTTCAACAGGATCTCAAATCTTAAAGGTAAAAACAGTGACAAGCTCAACTTAAGGTTAATGGTCATTTCAACAGGATCTCAAATCTAAAAGGTAAAAACAGTATCAAGCTTAACGTAATGGTCATTTCAACAGGATCTCAAATCTTAAAGGTAAAAACAATGACAAGCTTAACATAAGGATAAAGGTCATTTAAACAGGATCTCAAATCTTATAGGTAAAAACAGTGACAAGCTTAACATAAGGATAATAGTCATTTCAACAGGATCTCAAATCTTAAAGGTAAAAACAGTGACAAGCTTAACATAAGGTTAATGGTCATTTCAACAGGATCTCAAATCTTAAAGGTAAAAACAGTGACAAGCTTAACATAAGGTTAATGGTCATTTCAACAGGATCTCAAATCTTAAAGGTAAAAACAGTGACAAGCTTAACATAAGGTTAAAGGTCATTTCAACATGTTAATGTTCATTTCAACAGGATCTCAAATCTTAAAGGTAAGAACAGTGACAAGCTTAACATAATGGTCATTTCAACAGAATCTCAAATCTTAAAAGTAAAAACAGTGACAAGCTTAACATAATGGTCATTTCAACAGAATCTCAAATCTTAAAGGTAAAAACAGTGACAAGCTTAACATAATGGTCATTTCAACAGGATCTCAAATCTTAAAGGTAAAAACAGTGACAAGCTTAACATAAGGATAATGGTAATTTCAACAGGATCTCAAATCTTAAAGGTAAAAACAGTGACAATCTTAACATAAGGATAATGGTCATTTCAACAGGATCTCAAATCTTAAAGGTAAAAACAGTGACAAGCTTAACATAAGGTTAATGGTCATTTCAACAGGATCTCAAATCTTAAAGGTAAAAACAGTGACAGGCTTAACATAAAGATAATGGTCATTTCAACAGGATCTCAAATCTTAAAGGTAAAAACAGTGACAAGCTTAACATAAGGATAATGGTCATTTCAACAGGATCTCAAATCTTAAAGGTAAGAACAGTGACAAGCTTAACATAAAGATAATGGTCATTTCAACAGGATCTCAAATCTTAAAGGTAAAAACAGTGACAGGCTTAACATAAAGATAATGGTCATTTCAACAGGATCTCAAATCTTAAAGGTAAAAACAGTGACAAGCTTAACATAAAGATAATGGTCATCTCAACAGGATCTCAAATCTTAAAGGTAAAAACAGTGACAAGCTTAACATAAGGTTAATGGTCATTTCAACAGGATCTCAAATCTTAAAGGTAAGAACAGTGACAAGCTTAACATAAGGTTAATGGTCATTTCAACAGAATCTCAAATCTTAAAGGTAAAAACAGTGACAAGCTTAACATAAGGTTAATGGTCATTTCAACAGGATCTCAAATCTTAAAGGTAAGAACAGTGACAAGCTTAACATAAGGTTAATGGTCATTTCAACAGGATCTCAAATCTTAAAGGTAAAAACAGTGACAAGCTTAACGTAAAGATAATGGTCATTTCAACAGGATCTCAAATCTTAAAGGTAAAAACAGTGACAAGCTCAACTTAAGGTTAATGGTCATTTCAACAGGATCTCAAATCTAAAAGGTAAAAACAGTATCAAGCTTAACGTAATGGTCATTTCAACAGGATCTCAAATCTTAAAGGTAAAAACAATGACAAGCTTAACATAAGGATAAAGGTCATTTAAACAGGATCTCAAATCTTATAGGTAAAAACAGTGACAAGCTTAACATAAGGATAATAGTCATTTCAACAGGATCTCAAATCTTAAAGGTAAAAACAGTGACAAGCTTAACATAAGGTTAATGGTCATTTCAACAGGATCTCAAATCTTAAAGGTAAAAACAGTGACAAGCTTAACATAAGGTTAATGGTCATTTCAACAGGATCTCAAATCTTAAAGGTAAAAACAGTGACAAGCTTAACATAAGGTTAAAGGTCATTTCAACATGTTAATGGTCATTTCAACAGGATCTCAAATCTTAAAGGTAAGAACAGTGACAAGCTTAACATAATGGTCATTTCAACAGAATCTCAAATCTTAAAAGTAAAAACAGTGACAAGCTTAACATAATGGTCATTTCAACAGAATCTCAAATCTTAAAGGTAAAAACAGTGACAAGCTTAACATAATGGTCATTTCAACAGGATCTCAAATCTTAAAGGTAAAAACAGTGACAAGCTTAACATAAGGATAATGGTAATTTCAACAGGATCTCAAATCTTAAAGGTAAAAACAGTGACAAGCTTAACATAAGGATAATGGTCATTTCAACAGGATCTCAAATCTTAAAGGTAAAAACAGTGACAAGCTTAACATAAGGTTAATGGTCATATCAACAGGATCTCAAATCTTAAAGGTAAAAACAGTGACAGGCTTAACATAAAGATAATGGTCATTTCAACAGGATCTCAAATCTTAAAGGTAAAAACAGTGACAAGCTTAACATAAGGATAATGGTCATTTCAACAGGATCTCAAATCTTAAAGGTAAGAACAGTGACAAGCTTAACATAAAGATAATGGTCATTTCAACAGAATATCATATATAAAACAAGACAGAACACAAGAGTATGTCTTGTATGGTGGGGAATTAAATAACAGTTTTCAACCCATACTGAGCCTTCAAACTTTTTAGAATGTTTTTATATGGATCGAAGATGTGAACCTCTCTTTGTGTAAACATATTGAGAATTTTTGCATATTTTCCAGTAGATGAAACTTAGTCAGTTTTCAGTAACTTTCTCCAAGGAAGCTATCCATTTAGTGTATTCAACTTGTTTTTGACCCTCAGCCTTCAAATGTTCTAAGATGTTTTTTTATGTACACATATTGAGCATTTTTATAGATTTTCTAGATGTTGAAACTTAGTATATTCAGCAACATTCTTGAATGGTTCTCATTTTCCATAATCAGTTCACTATGGTTTCCAAACCACTGCCTTTAAACTTTTTAGAATGTTTGTATATCATTAAAAAATTTTGTTAGTTTTCCTACCGAAAGCATATTCAATACATTTTTACTAGTATTTATGGCTTGTCAAATTACAAACCAATAAGGATTGCACTCTGGTCGTTTGTATCTTTGACTCAGTCTTGCTAATGAAAGTATGTCAAGAAAATTGAAGCCATTTGACTTTGACTTGTTTGTTTTCAGATCTCCCTTTAGGATCAGTTGACATCATCATAAATGCATTAGACAATCAGGAAACACCAAATCTCAAAGATCAAGTCTGGTACAAGACCTTAGTTGAATGGGCCAACCAAAACAGAGCTCCTGTGTTAGCTATGGACCCACCAGTAGAATCCAATTCAGTCAGAGCCAAATGGTGTTTAAGTATTGGACTTCCCTTAAACATGGCAATGCAGTCATCCCAATTATACTTATGTGATCTTGGCTTCTCAAAGAAAGTCTTCGCAGAAGTGGGAATAAAATACTTGTCACCATTCTCACACAAGTTCACTATTCCTCTTCATCCAAAAGAGTAACTTCCTAGCGTTAGATTACATCATTCATCGTGTAAAAACCATTGTATTCTACATCAATGTCAATGTGCTGTTTAAAACATTCCTAACACTTTGATGCCAAAAAAGTGTCTCCTCGATTTCAGTAGAGACAAAGCCAGAAAATGGATTGCAAGCAGCAATTTATGGTGTTCTATTGAATTGTATTTTATTTTTTGGTGTTCACTAAAGTGCTTTCATAATGTTGTTTATTTCTACTTTAATGTGGTGCTCTGTCCACATTGGACATTAGATATATTCTATGACAGATTTGTTGAATGAATTCCAAATCAATCATTTGTACAGAAATTCTTGGTATGGAAGTGTTTTAACCATCGTTGGTGAAACATATTCATTGTGTGCCAATATAGAGAGACTGACCAAACTTGCAGTATGACGAAAAGTGAAATGGTCATCACTCAACCATTTTATTTTAAAATCAAAAATAGATATGTTTAGATGTATACTGGTTTTAAAGATATGCTGATAACTTGTATAGAATGGAATAAGAAATTATCATTGTCATACTAGACAAAATTGATGTTCTACATTTCATGTACTTTTGTTTTTGTGGTGAATTATGCTTTTATGAGATTGCAGAAATGAAAGGTTAAATAAATGATTTTTTAAAGAAAGATAAACTAAGAGAAAGAGAATATGACTAATAAGAAAAGAAAAGGCAACGAAAACCAGGAGATGAAAATACTGAAGAATGAGGAAAGATTTGGAATAAGCCAGAAATAGGAAAATAACGAATGCAAAACGGGATTAGTTTTATATAGAACAGAGAAGATAACAAATCAATAGAATATATAAGAAATAAACATACAAGATTTTATTCTTCAGTGATATTGACATTAGAAGAATCAAAACAAAGGAAATGGACCTTAAATTTGTGTGTGCTTTTTTTTGGTGCTCAGTGGACTGTGCCCACTTGTTTTGTGTTCCTTAGGTTTTTATCATTTTGTCATGCATTGTTGATCTCAATGTGATAGCTAGGGTGTGCAATATCATGACAAAAATGGCAGCTAGCCTTGGGAACTGCAGATTTTATCACACATATCTCCATCGTTACTTTGTTTATTTTTATGAATTGTTTATGTCCGAATGTGTGCCAGTATTAATTGTGATATTTTGTTTGTAAATAAATTTGCTTTCATTTCTTTTTAAACATTAAGTAGGTTTGAACGTTTATTTTCTGAAGAACAATGTATATAAGGTGAACTACTTAATCATCGGATAAATTGTGAATCTTTTTAAACAATTCAGTAATTTTGCAGATCTTTGGCTTTTTCAATATCATTTTCAATTTTTTTTTTTTTTTAACAAGGAATTATTTATAAAAAGTGAAAATTTGTTGTACTTTACTGATTGGTTCATTGTTTTGTACAGACAAAATATCAATTTGAAATATATATAAGAATTTTTTGAATCGGATTATCTTGGAGTTAAAGAAACTCAATTCAAACAAGAAACCTAGACAAAAAGATGATTTTCAAAAGTTCATATCTTTTGTTTGATTAGTTTTAAAATGTTGAAAGACAAAAAATGCTTTGCTAGTAAAACACTAGAATTATCAGCATTTTATATTATAATAAGTTAATTAATGAATGTTCGTATGTCAGTGTTTGTGTGTTGTGGTTCATATGTATATAATCATACTCATTATATATTGATTCATTACTGTATGTATTGATGGTATGCATCTTCGGACAATTTTTTTGTTGTAAATACTGGTTATGGTGAGTGTATGTAAATATGATTCTTGTATTATTTTCAAAATAGTCAAATATTGCATTCAAGGTTGACAGACTAATTCTGTTGTTGTATGATCACATTACATAGTTGACAACATATTTTACAAGGATGCTTGTACTGGTTGTGTAACTCCTTTTGATGAAAGATTGGAAAAGTTTTAAGTTTGATCTTGTCAGTAAAATTTAACCTAAAGAATATGAATATTTTATCAAGTTAATTGACCAGTAAACTCGTATACACCTGCCATCTGTAAACATTTGGCAGTTGAAGTTTTCATTTTATTCTGCAAAATTCAACTGAAGCATTTTTATCATGTTTATGTAAAAAGGCTAAATTAATTGAGGATCTTAAAGGTGCTGTTTGGTATATGATGAGCATATATTTAAGTCTTTCCATTATGGCATAGCTGATAAATTTAGGATAACAATAGAAATATTGTAGATGGCTATTGTAAATCACACATTCTATTATGTTTTAACATGTACAGTATTTTGAAGTAATATTTCCATCATATGCCAGGTAGCAATTGTAATAAATAAGAAAAGGAGGAATTTGTCATCCATCAATTTTATATGAATTTGAAAAATTCAAATTAATTTCTTTCACAAAGGAAAGAATATATTGCATTAGAATTAAAAGTTGAATTTATTTGACTATTTTGGAGTAATATCATCAGTTTACTAATTTGATGTACATATATATCTTGAAGTATTTTTCTATCATTTTGTGTTGATCCATTAGTTTGTATAGTAAATATTGTTGTTGACAACCATGCTCAAGGGACATAACCACTGCTAGTCAATTGTCATACCTTGGATGCATGGACACTGCCATTTTGTGTAAAAGTGAGAAATACAAACAACAAGTCCACCTCAGTTGTCATGACAATTACATTATGTATATTTCATGCAAATCTTCCATTATGTACTTTGTTATCTCAATGAAAATAAGATAATCTTCAATTGCTATTCTGCTATATTTCAAAACAGATTTGATTATTTTTTTGTTATTTAGGATATTCTTATTGATGTTTTCTATTCATCAAGTTGTTTATAGGTTACATGTGTGGCTTAATTCTGAGTAGTTGGTATTTTTATCATTCTCATCAAACAAAGAACCCATTGAAAATGTGTCAATTACAGTGAATGTTTACCAAAATATTGGGTAGGAGTTAGGCCTATAACAGGAAGTACTAGTTTCCATAGCCATATGAAAACGCCCAGCAGTTCTATTTATACAAAAATAATATGTTCCTTCGGATTTTTCCAAACAGCTCAGACTTCTGTCTTTGATTTGTGTTATGTATTGAATATGGAACATTCAATTTGAAATCACCACAATTTCTAACTTCTGAAATGATTAAACACCATTGGAGCCATAAAAGGAATGGGATTCTAGTCCAGGTATTATTGGTATCTGTATTTTAAGGGTTTATTATCATTTTCTTAAAGTAAATAAAATAGTCCTGATATTACATTTTATTGCCTGAGGTTGTATTTTTTGGTATAAATGAGGTGTATCAGTATTTAGTACTTACAAATGGCATATTTTTATATTCAGCAACCAATTTGTTGACTATTTGTGTTATATATTACAAAATGTTTGACCTATTATTGAAAATGAGTGCTTTATGAACCAACATTCGTCATGGTAATATGTGATATTGTGTATATTTCATTGCATTAAAGGCCACGGGAAATATTAAAAGAGACAAATTTTGTCTTTTGTATTTTAAAGTTTATTTATAATGAAATAGAAGTATCATGTTTGGTTGATTTTTTTCAAATTCTCTGCCAAACGTTCAGTTAAACTATATTGATCTGTATATATTTATATATATATACTGCACTGAATATCAAAATATATATATATCAAGTCAAATTATGACAGTTTACCATAGGTGTTGGAAATTTAATCATATTTGTGATTAAAAAATCAAATAAACTTCAGTGAAGAAATTATATGTTCACAAAAGCACTATTGTTTACCATAATTTTATATTCTTATTAAATGCACACTGACTAAAATTTTAACACCTATGCTCTGTATATGTAATTATGCTGTCTATTCCTTGTACAGAAATATGTGCTAACAGCAATTGCTTTGAATGCATATCAGAGGTTAAGTTTCAAAGCATTATTCAAAATGTAGTAAAAACGTATGAAGGAATAAAAGGCATATATCATAAAAAATAATTGAGGAACTATTTATTAATTGATAAAAGATGTGCTATAATTTGATAATTTGACCAAACTTGATACTACATTGGACCAATACATAGGTGTGTTACTACATTCTTGATATGTATCAGGGTCATATATTACATTTTATTATATGCTGTGTGTCGTGTAGTTTTAATCTGTATTTTTTGTCTCAACTACCAAAAAAATGTAAAATAAACCAAAGAAAAAATGTTGACATAATTAATACAGTCAAGAATTATCATGGCAATTACTTTGTTAAAATTATTTATTGTTAAGTATGAATGAAAAGAGTCCCGTAAATTATGTTTACAAAAGAATTTTATTGTGTAAATGTAATTACGTTTGATAGCATGTTGAATTGTTGGTGCAGATGTTTTTTTTACATTTTAACAAAAAACCAGAAATGGTCAAGAGATTTTGTTGACTTTTTTGTCCTTAGATATTTTCCAATGAAAAGCTAGATATTATAGCTATTTGTGCATGTGGGAGTACAGTATTTAAAAACATTTTTGTTTTCATCAGATAGTCAATTATATGTTTAGTGCCTTTATTATGAAAAACTTTGGACATTATTCCCGCTTACTGTAAAGAAATGCAAAATGTAAGTGTAGACTGAGGAGAACTTATTTAGTTCACATTATTTTTAAAGAAGACCAAAACATAAACATGTTAGTTATTGTTTTTAAAAGAGAAATTATATCACAATGAACTCCCACATCTGACAAAAATGTCTGAGCTACAGGCTTTTAAAATACCTGGAATGAGGACATTGATTATTTGTTGAAAATATTTTTATTATTTATGATGTTGTATGGAAGTATATATGTATGTTCATAAATGAGTGAAAGATTAATTATTATAATATCCATTACCTTACAAAGGTCTCTATGGTAACAAATGAACGTGAAAGTAGTAATTATATTCATGTACTGAGTACACAAATGTGTAAAATTGATGACTTAATTTTCTGATAACCCAAAATAAGTCAATAGATAGATTCCTTATAAATCTAAATTTCATATCATAGTTATTTTATAGCAGAAAAGTGAGTTTTATTTAAGCTGAAAGTACAATTCAATAAAAGAAATCCTGATTTTAAAAAATTGAAGGGAAGTTAAAAAGAAATTGTTCATACTAAACAATGCAGCTGTAATGATATGAGATTGTTAGAGGGAAGCCATCTGTGAAATAATTCACACACTCAGGTAAAACTATCAGCACAGTGAAATAAAAAAATGAGAGCTCAGTTAATGAGAGAATTTTGAAATTATATCATTGTTTGTTATGAATGTGAAAAGTTATTTTTTATTTTATATTTTAAAACATTATTTGAGGGGCATTTTTAAGAAATAATCATGAGTTAAAACTATCAGTGCATTTGACAGTCATCATAGTCTAGTCATAAAATGTTTGAAACACTCCGAACTTGTCTACTAGCCCACACTTAACCCTTGAAATGTTTATCTGTTGTCAAAACTCACACAATACTAAAATGGTTAAGAAAATCAAGCTGATTTTAACAGATGTTGCTCAGTTTAAGCAAATCAGCTCCAATATGTTACGATACTTTTAGACTATTTTGAAATCAGCTGTTCAACTTGTTGATTAAATTAAATACAATGGCAAGCATTATAAAAGTGTGTGGATTGATTCTGGTAAATATATGAATCAATCCTGAAGTGGGGAAAAAAATAATGCTGAAACGTGCTTCATACGTTAAAGTAGTTATGCAAGATCTGGAGTTTTGTTAATTTTAAATTTGATATAAATGAGATTCTACTCTCTTTGATATTGGGGATACTGTAAAATTCCTGTTAGCTTATCATGCATTATTGTCATTGTTCATATATCATATATAGATACATAGAAAATAAGCAATTATTTTATGTGATGGGTACACAGATGTGTTGGAAATCATGGCTTGTTGGAGGAGACTTTTATTATCATAGATGATATACTAATGTTATTTTTTATCATGTATAATGTTTTAGAGAGAGAAAGTTAACAAAAAAATATGAGAAAAATTTAGATAAAATTACAAAATTTAAATCTCCATTGAACAACATGTTCCCATACAAACCATGTTCTGATACATCTGGTACCTACATACTTAAAGGATACTGATTAGAGATGACATCACAATTTGTGATAGTAGCATTGACACCATGCTTGAAATTAAGTAGAAATGACTCCAGGGTTTATCAGGGATAACATGAGGGTTTAATACAATTGAGTATAAAGTTTTGGATTGAAAATGCTTAAAGTGCAACATATCCGATTTTAGAAAATATAGTGAAGCCAGACAAATTCTGTACAAGGTTTCACTGTAATGCAAAAAGAGATGCAAAAAATGTTAAAGACATAATTAAAAGTGGGAGAGGGTGGGGACAAGTTGCGGGGGGGATTGAATGGGACAAATTGGGTTTTTAAAATAAGTCATCTTGATAACACGAAAATTTACATACAACTTTGGGTGAATAAGGCTTCTTGAATTTTAAGGGGGGAAATCATTAGAAAAGAAGAGTTAGAAATAGCACACGCAATGATTTTAAAAACAAAAATTTTCATAAACTAAGAAGTGAATCCACAGCTAAAGGTGTTCTCTTTTAAATTATAAAGTTGAATAATTTTGATTTTAAACAACCTATTTGCTGATGGTGAGGGTAGGAGGGGGACTGATAAGTTTCTTGTACAGAAATAGTTCTGTATTAGAACATAACTTTTCTATTTTATGTTTAATTATTTAATTTTGAAAATATGGCTATTTTTGAGCTAGAGTTGAAAAATACTTTGCTTTTGGAGTTTTAAATTTGGTTCCTCAACAAGAAATATTTCCAAACATTTCAATTTTCAATCATTCAGTAAAATATTAAGAAAATAACAAATTTATTGAAGGAAAATTGATACATTATGTGATTTTTACAGAAAAGTGAACTAATTAGTAAGTAAAACAGTACTTGTTTTTTTGTGGAAGTTAGAAAATAATGCAGGAGTTTTTGCATTCTTTTAAATAAAAGTACTCTTTTTTATACTAATAAGTTAGGAAACATTATTGGAATTATTGAAACATTTTTGATACTATTATAAAATGCACTGATTATGGTGCTTTGTATCTACAGAGAATTTGTTGTTGTATCTGTACTTACTTTTATTCAGATTTATAATATACTCTTCTTTGTAAATAACTAGTTGAAAAAATACCAGACAATTATAAAAAATAAAAATACTTGTGGACAACATTGTATATTTTAAAAGGAATTAGTAATTTTTACATTTAGAACAGGGTATTTTCTTAACAATGATTTATGGGTGAAATTTTCCATGTTTAGAAGTTCTAAAACTAAAAGTTAGTAATCTGAATAGTATATTATATTTTATTTTTTCTTAATTTCTTCAAGCTTTTATAATTTTATTTTTATGTCATATTTTAAAGAAATTTTAATATAAAATTTTACTTGATATAAAGTTGTTAAAATATGTTGTTAGTTAGTATTATTCTTATAAGTAATAATTGTTTTGAGTCCTGTGTGTTACATTTTTATGTATTAAATTTTTCATTGGTCTTAATGTTCAAAATGCTATAAAAGGTGTTAAAAGAATAATTAGGAAATGTCATTAATATGCTGGGTTCACACGTACATACTGGTGTTCATTGAAAACGTATCAAATGAGTATATAAAACTGTTATGTCCACTCATTCCAGCTGGTCATCACATGATGGTCATTAAATATGACAGATTATTGTAAACAATTATATATTTCTGGGTTCACACACAATACACATTTGACACATTTTCGACCAAATAGCTTTCGACAATGGGCATTTATTGTGTGTTATGTGTGAACACAGCATTAGTATCTCCTCGCGAGAGAAGACAGTAAAATGTTTTTATAAGAATTGTAACACATCAGGATTAGACAAGCTATGGAAAATTTAAAACATCCATGCAGTGTTCTCAATTCAGTCTTATCAAGTAAAATACTGTAAATTCAGAAAGTTTTGCCATGTTTTTATTGTTGCAAAAATTGCAAGAGGATTTGTTTTTCATAAATAAAAACTGTCATTTTAAATTTTAATAGCATTATTTGTATGCCAAAAAAATGCAACATTTTCTGAAATTTCAATAATTAATCTCACATTTCTGTCCAATTTTAACAATTGCAATAATATATGCATGAGCAAATTTCTGAATTTACCTTGACTAAATATCACATGACTTATTTTTCAGTCATAAAATTTATCTGCAATAAAACCTGTTTTGTATCTGTTAAGTACTTGTAGCTTTCTTGGTATGTTTTATATGATTTTACATCTTAAACTTTATATTAACAATAAGAATATTTTTCAGACCTTTTAATGAATGGAGGTGTTACTGGTAAGTGAGGAACAAGTTGCCAGATTTTAGCGTTAGAAATGAAAGTTGGAAATATGTAGTTGTCAGTCAAATTTTGTGGCTTGGACAAATTGTTCCTTACAGGGTTGTTAAATTGCTCTAATTTTACAACTGGTAATGGCCATTAGTTTCAATCAAGTTTTTAAATACAAAACTTAAGCTTGTATTCAAACAGTGTTTAAGACTAGTGAATTTTATAACTTTAATATGTAAACTTATGAAAAATATCCAGTCTCAGCCAACTATTGTGTTCCAGTATTGGTTTAAACGATATTAAGCAGATTACTTTACTTAATGCATATATGTGTATGGTATTTATGATTTGATAGCAGAAAATTTGTGATAAAAACAAAAATTTCAAATACCATGCTACAAGGAAGACCATTGAATAGAATAATTTTATAGATAGTGGTTGTAATATTTATGTTCTTTTTAAAGAAAAACATTGTTAAAATCCATTCCTATTTATGGAAGATTGCAGATGAGACTGAACTTTCTCTTTATTGTCAGTGATAAGTGGTGCAGTATATTTGTACTTCTGATTGAAGTAATATTTGTTATGATTTACACAAAACTTGTTAAAACTTTCAAGTATTTTAACAATTTTATGCAAGTATAATTTATTTTATTGCTTTTACCTATTTTTCTTATGTTATTTGTTTTAGTATATTATTGTACGGAGATGTATAAACACCACCATATGTTGTTGACAATATTTTGTTCTGTTAATTTGTTATTTGGGGTTAATCTTTCATTATTAAACCAAATTAAGTATAAAATTTCAGATTTAAGAAATTATGGTATAAAACAGTAATTTATTGTAAAAGTTGATTTAAAGATAAAAGTAAGATCTTTGACTGTAAACATGGACTGGAGTAAACAATGTACGATTTTTAAAGAAACAAATATAGTCAACATAATTTGGGGTTGAGGCATTGAATTTTCTCGTTATTAAGTTTCTTGAGCACAGAGTCTGTTTGATTTTACTAATATAAAGTCACCTGGTGGATGTATAAATTCAGAGTAATCTGTGTCTTTCAATATGGTTACTTGATTATTCCGATACATTTGATAAATTTCTTTTTTACTGATAGTTTTTATAACACCAAAAGGGTCATTTCATAATGCTAATATTCCTGTTCCTTTTGTTATTTTATTTTTATGCTTATGGATGCATGTTTAACTATGAAGAAGACATGAACTTAAGTAATAAAAATCATAAAATTTGTTATTGGATAAGTTTTTTTTCTAATCATCTTGCCAGTGCAATAGTCTGATAACCCATGTGTAATTTCAACAGACCATCAATACACTGGATGAATGTTTATCTGTTGAGAAATAGATAAAGGTACTAAGATTATCCTGTATTTGGAAAGAAAGTCCACCTTTTTGAAGAAGTAAAACAAGTTTATTTTGCAAATTTGTCTTGTTCAGAACTTAAATATTTCTTGAAGCTTTTTTAATAAAAACCATTCAAAATTAAGACTTGTTGGAATTACTTAAATTTATGATATCTTTATATAAATGTCAATTGAGTTAGATGATGCTTATTGATTTCAGTGCTATATTTCTTACATAATGAGAAAACGAGCCTCATATGCAAGTGTTTGTACTTCTCTGGAAATATTTAATGTTTTGTAGTGATAAAAGATGTAGAGAAATAAATAAAATTAAAATGAATTTTGTTGTTTCTTTTAATTTGGTTTTTGTCTTGCCTGAGACAAAAGTCGCAGAAAGCAAACCAAGGGGATGTGAATCTATCTGCTGCGGTAACAGCATCTTATACTATTTTAATAATGCTTTATATTTCAGAAGGCAGAAGACCTAGAAGTTTAATACATGGTATATTGATTCCTTCTGTCTGTCATAGTCCATTGACCGTGACCTCATTTTCATTGTTCAACAACTGCTTAAAAACTCTAGCTGTTGTCTCGCCTCTTATGAAAGACACAGAATGCTTGACATTGAGATAACAATCAGGCATCGCTGACTGTAAACCATTTGTATGTTCCAGAGGTTAGAAGACTTGTATGCCAATACCTAATGTTAAGAAGTTTCAGTGTCATATGTCCATTGTCCTTGATCTCATTTTCATGATTCAGTGACTGCTTGAAAAAAGAATAACAGTTACTAACTACTTATATGAGTAATAGGATACTTATATTTGGTATATGGGTTCCTTGCAAGATCTACATGTCTGTTAACCTGACCTTGACCTCATTCATGTATCAGTGATCAAGGTTAAGTTTTTGTGGTCAAGTCCGTATATCAGATACTATAAGCAATAGGTCAACTATATTTGGTGTATGGAATTAATGTGAGGTGTACATGTCTAACTGGCAGATTTCATCTGACCTTTACCTCATTTTCTATCAGGTAAATGAGTTAGAAAATTAACTGAATATTTTAACTAAGTATCAAAAAAATATGACTAAAATTGTCAATTGACCCCTCAAGGAGTTATTGCCCTTTAAGGACAATTTTACACAATTTGTTTATCATGTTTTCTTAACTAAAAAATCTTCTCTGAAACTACTGAACCAATTCCAACCAAACTAAAGCTGAATGATCCTTAGGGTATCTAGAATTAAGTTTGTGTTTTATTTTCTGTTTTGTCAAAAAACGGCCGCAATGACTAAAAATTGAACAAAGGGGTAAAATACAGTTTTTGGCTTATATCTCAAAAACTAAAGCATTTAGATCATATCAGACAAGAAGCTACAATATTCATTAGGTCAAGGTCTACCTGCCCTGAAATTTTCAGATGAATCTAAGAACCCATTGTTGGGTTGCTGCCACTAAATAGGTTATTTAAAGGAAATTTTGCAGTTTTTAGCTTACCTTTCTGAAGGAAATGAGAGTTTTTGCCATCACCTGGCATCCATCATCTTCCATCGTTTTTTGTCTTCGTCCTTCTGGTGTAGACTATTTCAAACATCTTCTCCTCTGAAACTACTGAACCAATTCCAACCAAACTTTAGCTGAATGATCCTTAGGGTATCTAGAATAAAGTTTGTGTTTTATTTTCTGTTTCCTCAGAAAACATGGCCACCATGTCTAAAAATAGACAATAGGGTAAAATGCAGTTTTTGACATATCTCAAAAACTAAAGCATTTAGAGCATATCAGACAAGACGCTACAATATTCATTAGGTCAAGGTCTACCTGCCCTGAAATTATCAGCCAAATCGGGTATCTGATTTTTAGAATATTATCTTGAATATTATTATAGATAAAGATAAACTGTTCAGTTAAGTAAGATCTACAAATAAGTTCATAACACCAAAATTGTCAGTTGACCCCTTAAGGAGTTATTGCCCATTAAATACAATTTTTCACAATTTGTTCATCTAGTTTGCATACTTTAAAAAATCACCTTTGAAACAGCTGAATTAATTTCAGCCAAACTTGGGCTGAATGAGTTTCAGAGTATCTAGTATAAATTTTGTATTTTATTTCCTTGTACGTCAAGAAACAGCCACTATGGCTAAAATGGAACATAGGGGTAAAATGCATAATTTTGCTTTTGAAGAAAATATGACAGATACAAAGAACATTTAAATGGCATTTTTAAGCCACTCATTAATATGTATTGAAAAGCAAAAATAATCATTGATAAAAGATTTAAGCAAAAAATTACAGTTGAGCGATTCAGGCTCTTGAGAGCCTCTTGTATGTCTTGCCTGAGACAAAAGTAGCAGAAAGCAATGATCCATTCAAATTAGGTCTAGGTCCAATGAAACCTGCCAGACAAACACACCTTACAATCAATCCATACACTAATAATGTTGAACTATTGCTTATAATCTGAAAAATTGACCTTATTTTAATCTTGTCACTGATCCATGAAAAGAGCCACTATTTTATGTAAGGAATTATTGTAAGTTGTACATGTCCGACTGCAGGTTTCATCTGACCTTGACCCCAATTTCATGGTTCATTGGACTAACTAGTTTTTGTGGTTTGGTCTAGTTCACAGATTCTATACCGGTAAGCAAAAGAGCCACTATATTTTGTGTATGGAATGATTGTAAGATGTAAATGATTGTCTGGCAAGTTTCATATGACCTTGACCTGATTTTCATGCTTCATTGGTCAATGTTAAAGTTTTCATGTTTTTGTCAGTTTATCAGATACTAAGCAAAAGGTCAATTATATTTGATGTATGGAATGATTGTAAGGTGTACATGTCTTTCTGGCAGGGTTAATATGATCTTGACCTCATTTTCATGGTTCATTGGTCAATATTACAATTTTGTAGTTTGATCTGTTTCTCAGGTACTATAAGCGATGGGACCACTATATTTGGTGTATGGGATGATTGTAAGGTGTACATGTCTGTCTGGCATGGTTCTTCTGACTGTGGATCATTGATATCATTAAGATTATGTGATACTTGTAGTAAAACCGTCATATTGCACATTTTCTACATAAATTCAATCATAAGTAAAGCAGGCGAGACATTTCAGCATGTGCACTCTTGTTTTGTTATATGAATTTTTTTACTTATTATGAGTAATAGCATATTATAATATTTGGTATATAGGATCCTTTGCAAGGCCTACATGTCTGTCAGATAGGGTTCATCTCACCTAAAACTCATTTCATGGATCAGTGACAAGATTAAAATTACATGCAACAAATATCACAGAATGCAAGATATAGGGGTGCTAATTAAAGCTTTATACTTCAGAAAGTAAAATAGTTGGATAATCCCTATCTTGTATAGAGGTGCCTTATGGTGTTAAGTTTATATCATGTCCTTGACCTCATTTTCATGGTTTGATGACTGCATTAAAAATGTATTTAAGTTGATGTTCTTAGTTACTGTAAATTAACTTATTTTGGCGAATACTTGATTTTGTGGTTAGCCCTTTCTAGTTCATTTCGTGGTGATTTAATTTTCGTGATTTTCAATTTACTTGATGTATTTAAATAAGGAAAGATCCAAGTTTTATATATTGGTGGCGATTTATATTCGCGTCATATTTCTACTCGTGAAATTCGCGTAACAAATCAATCGCGAAAATTAGTTGGTTTACAGTACTATGATTGATAGATATAACAAGAGGCTCTCAAGAGCCTGAATCGCTCACCTGTAATTTTTTTGCTTAAATCTTTCATCAATGATTATTTTTGCTTTTCAATATATATTAATGAGTGCCTTAAAAAATGCCATTTAAATGTTCTTTGTATCTGTCATATTTTCTTCAAAAGCAAAAAAATGCATTTTACCCCTAGGTTCCATTTTAGCCATAGTGGCTATGTTTCTTGACGTACAAGGAAATAAAATACAAAATTTATACTAGATACTCTGAAACTCATTCAGCCCAAGTTTGACTGAAATTGATTCAGCAGTTTCAAAGGAGAAGATTTTTTAAAGTAAACAAACTAGATAAATAAATTGTGAAAAATTGTCTTTAAAGGGCAATAACTCTTTAAGGGGTCAACTGACAATTTTGGTCATGAAACTTATTTGTAGATCTTACTTTGCTGAATATTTTTGCTGTTAAAAATCAGATACCCGATTTGGCTGTTAATTTCAGGGCAGGTAGACCTTGACCTAATGAATACTTGGCATAACTCTAGAACGGTAAAAGTGACGCCACCAAAATTCACACTTGATCTGTGTGTTATGTTAATAAGCATTGTGTATAAGTTTCATAACATTTGGTTGAGGCAAATTAAAATTAGCGAACGGATACGAAAAATTCGGCAATTTTTCCATTTGTAAAGGGGCATAACTCTAGAACGGTAAAAGTGACACCACCAAAATTCAAACTTGATCTGTGTTTTGTGGTAATAAGCATTGTGTATAAGTTTCATAACATTTGGTTGAGGCAAACTAAGGTTAGAGAACGGAAACCAATTTTGGGACGTACGTACAGACGGACAAGGGTTAAACTTAATGCCCCCTCCGCAACGGTGGGGGCATAAAAACAAATATGACAGACAGCAACCAACGACTACCACTGAATTACAGGCTACTGACTTGGGAAATGCACAAAGAATGTGGTGGGGTTCAACAGGTTTGTTTGCACTCTAACCTGTGACAGTGGTGTAACAGCACAACATAAGAACAAACTGTAAGAATTGGTCAAAAAGGCTTAACTCAACAAATTGGTGCAAAGCACAAAAAACAACTAACATGAAAACAAAGGACACAAAGTGCCATCTTAAGTACTCACAGACCTTGCCATTATTTTCATGATTCATTGGGCAGTTCTAAGTTTTCATGATTACATCATATTCTCAGTTTTGCACATTCTATAACACCATTGTTAGAGTAATTTTTCTCATTTTTCCAGGCTTGGCAAAATTTTCAAAGGACCATACCAATTTTGCTCAATCAACTCCTGCATTTTCAACCAGATCCTTCAAACTTCACAAAAGTTTGCACTTCTGTGAAGTTGTGCACCTCCAATAACCGAGTTGTTTAAAAAAATAAGATCTCTATTTTTTTTCATTTTATTTTTCCATATATTTCATTATACCTGTAGACCATTCTCTATAGTTAAAGCATTCTGTGCCACCTAGCCATTTGAGTATTTGATTCAGTTTCTATTTTTAGTAACAGTAGAGGCCATGTTTGAAGGCCGGTGATTGGGGTCATCTGCCACAATTCTTAAATTGAATCAATGGATCACAAATTTATCCTGTTCATTTGACAGACGGATGGATGGATGCACAGACTAGAAAACATAATGCTCACTACTTTTGTAGGCGGATAATAAAACATGATGTAACGTTATAGTAAAACAGAAGACAAAGAAACTATATTGCAATTTGACAAATTTAATTTTTTACTTCATTATAGTAAAATCAGTATAAATAGTATAACAAAATTCCTATGACAGTGATTATATACATTCTTACAGGAAATCACATGACCTACACTACACTGCATATACATAAATATATATCTCATCTGCATTATACATAGCAAGAAGTCCCAAAGGCTAACACATTGAACTTAAAATCAACTCAAATTTGGTAGCTTCAATTATTTTTTCTGTAAAGAATCACTTTGGTAATTTTTCAATCATGTCCAATCTCAGTTCAATATTTTCATTTTTTGATTTAAGGGTGTTCGCTGCTCTTGTTTAGGACTTTTAGTCCGATAATCGGAATCCTCTAGTTTTATCCATGTAGTGCCAATCATGCCATTAAAAAATTTGGTCCGTTAACCCCTACTTTTCTTTTCACAATTTTATTACATATAGTTAAAACAGCAATTTATGAAAATATTATAAAGTCCTTGTTATTTTTTCATAATTTTGAAAGAAAAAAGGTGCCTCTGTTAAACATATCAAAAATCTGGAGAGAATCATTTCCTGCCAAATTTTTAATTGCTTATATCTAAAAAACAAGGACACAGACCTTTCATTTTTTTCTGCTTTTTATGTTCCGTTTTTTATATACTATCAATTTATAACAGTCTTTTGAAAAGCTTGTTATTTTCAAACAGAGGAAGAACATCCTTAAAACCAACTGTATTACAATTCTGATTTGCACCAACTGAATGCACTACAAAAATGTACAATTGAACTTGCCTATGTTCAAGTTATGATATTACAAAGCTAACAACCTATACAGATTTGTAATATAATCCACATGTGATAATTATCCATATAGTTAACAAGTACAATAGTTAATGAACTTTAAAAATATGCCTACTTTGTCAACATTATAAATTGTAAAAAAAATCTGAGATGGAATCCATCCAGTATTGAGTGGACTTTCCAAAGCAGAATATATTACCATTTTCTAGGGGCCATTGGTCCACTGTTTTGTTCTAATGACATTCTGAACATGCAATGTATAGTGCATGCAAAGAAATGTTATCATAAACACAAGCTATATATTCCAACATTCTTACAACTGGTCAAATCTATTCACATTGTTAAAAAGCATAGAGTTACCCTGGAAATGGAATTCAAATTGTTATGATAGAACATCAGTAATACAGATACTGTAAATTCAGAAAATATTGTGATTTTTAAAGAATGGACAATAATGCCAGAAAAATTATTGGGATATCGAGAAAAGCTGCATACAGAAATGTGTATCAGGTATCAGACTGCGAGTTCTTATTATTTTGAGACTCCCCCAGACGCATTATTCGCATTAATAAAACCTCGCAATAATTTCTGAATTAACAGTAGTCATCTGAGCAATTCCAATTTCATCAATATACCATATAACACAGATAGGCTTCCTTACTTAGCCGAATAGATTTGATTTGTTGCAAGACAAAAATGAGTATTGCTTGCAGTCTTTGTGACAAGGAAAAACATCAAGTCTAACCAAATTAATGCTTAGCATAAAACATTACAATATATTGCACAGAAAAAGAGAATGTGCGTATAATCTTTTTCATCATTAAACCCTAATTTAGCTTAGTTAATATGAAATACGAAATTGAAGCTTGGAAGATAAATACTCATTAAAGTCTTATTATTTCTTAGTAACAATTTGTCATTAATAAAATAAAAATGAAACAGAAAGAAAATAAATTACAACAATGCTAATTCATAGGCAAAACTGTCTAATAAAAAAAGGTATGACTGAATGACAAGGTGAAGATGAGAAATGGTTCCCATCAATCTAACCTGAATTCAGTATGACTGAATGACAAGGTGAAGGTGAGAAATGGTTACCATCAATCTAACCTGAATTCCGTATGACTGAATGACAAGGTGAAGGTGAGAAATGGTTACCATCAATCTAACCTGAATTCAGTATGACTGAATGACAAGGTGAAGGTTAGAAATGGTTACCATCAATCTAACCAGAATTCATATAATGCATATGACTAATTGAGCAAGTAAGATGGCTGCCATGTTTACTCAAGTAATCTTCATTCAAACTAAAAAAATCAAAAGTTGACAAATGTAAACACCATGCAAAAAATGCATAAATTCTGACTGACCACTGAATGGCTGAACAAAACAAAAGACAGAAAACAGGACTGCATGTTGAAACATAAACTTAAATCAATGGGGATACTTTTTCTGAGATGTCTAGAAATTCAAGTTTTTTGGAGTAAATTCTGTTATGTGTTATACATGCTTTAGTCATTTTTTTCCTATCTATGTTAAATATAATGACAATCAACTGTTTATACATTTATTTTAACTTCTTTGGGCTGTTCCTTAAAAATATACATGGATCAAAGGAAGGCACTTTGAAATCTCAACTATGGATGGGTGTCAAATAATTTTTTGTACAGCGAAGATGTACCAGTAATTGAATTAAGGTTACTCCATTTTCAAAGTGCTTTCCCTAGGAATCATATATTTTTTAATGGAAAAGTCCTTTAACAATATAATAATTATCATAACAAAAACAAAACAAAAAGTTAAAAATACAAAAATCAATCTTAACAGCACCAAAGTCATTATAAAATGCAATTATTTCAAGTTTATATTAGATTTTGACAGGAAGTGTATGTTTAAATTTTACTTTTTTTTAGTGTAGAAAATTATGAATTCTGTAAAATGGATATTTGAGACCGTCAAAATCCCCACTTGACAGCAGCAACTCTTGAACTTTAGTAGTGTTATTACTTATACATTACAAAAAGGAAATAATGCATTACAGCTTCCAAAAAAATGTATAAAATTCAAATAATATAAAATGTCATGAATGATTGTGGCGCAATTTACGTCATGGCAAATCATGAAGTCATATGAAAGAAAACTGTCATACTGAAGGTTAATATTCTGTTCCTTGTATGCTTTAAAATTGTCTGATTTCTCACTAAAATAGCGTTTTTGAGGTAGGTGTTGTTTCATTTTCATTGATATTGTATTAATTGAACAATTGTGGTTAATTTGCCAGTTAATATGGTGGCTCATTCCTTAGTTACAACATGTCAATTGTGGATTTGACGGTAAATATTTGCCCCTGAAAAAAATTGTTTCATAAAAATTGCATTAGAGTCGACATTTACTGGTTTTTTTTATAAAGGGTTAAATGAGTTAAATGAAACAGTCATTAAACATATGATCCTAAAGTGGTTTTTAACATATGGATCACTACAAGATCATTATAACATATGGATCACTACAAGATCATTATCTGGAGGATGCTGAATCTTATTCTATTTGAAAATAGAGAACAGGGATTTTTACAAAGTTGCTAAATTGTGAAGTTTATACTCAGATTGAGGGCTTATTTTAAGTTCTTTTATTTTTCAATTCATTATGAATAAATAAAAGGAGATATGGGCAAGGGTACGGAAACTGTCATATTTGCCATTCATGACCTAAACTGAAAGGTAATTGACCTAAATGGTAGATTGGGATTTAGGTCAAATTCAATTTTTTTACAGAAATAATTTCTGTTATTTCATTGAGATTTTCACTTAATTTTGTTTTGAAATGCTTTTGTGGTAATTATATAACAAGAGTGCACATGCTGAAATGTCTCGCCTTCTTTACTAATCACTGAAATTATGTTGATAGTCCTTAATATAAAGCTTTATTACAACTATCACATAAACTTAACATTAACCAAGAAAACTAAACATTGACCAATGAACCATGAAAATGAGGTCAAAGTCAGATGAACCATGCCAGGCAGGCATGTACAGCTAACAATTCTTCCATACAATAAATATAGTTGACCTATTGCTTATAGTTTAAGAAAAACAGACCAAAACACAAAAACTTAACACTGAGCAATGAACTGTGAAAATGAGGTCAAGGTCAAATAAAACCTGTGCGACCGACATATAGATCATAAAATATTTCCATACACCAAATATAGTTGACCTATTGCATATAGTATTAGAAAAAAAGACCAAAACTCAAAATCTTAACTTTGACCACTGAACCATGAAAATGAGGTCAAGGTCAAATGACACCTGCCAGCTAGACATGTACACCTTACAATCATTCCATACACCAAACATAGTAGACCTATTGCATACAGTATAAGAAAAACAGACCAAAACACAAAAACTTAACTATAACCACTGAACCATGAAAATGAGGTCAAGGTCAGATGACACCTGCCAGTTGGACATGTACACCTTACAGTCCTTCCATACACAGAATATACTTGATCTATTGCTTATAGTATATGAGATATGGACTTGACCACCAAAACTTAACCTTGTTCACTGATCCATGAAATGAGGTTGAGGTCAAGTGAAAACTGTCTGACAGGCATGAGGACCTTGCAAGGTACGCACATACCAAATATAGTTATCCTACTACTAATAATAAGAGAGAATTTAACATTACAAAAAATGCTAACTTTTTTTTCAAGTAGTCACTGAACCATGAAAATGAGGTCAAGGACATTGGACATGTGACTGACGGAAACTTCGTAACATGAGGCATCCATATACAAAGTATGAAGCATCCAGGTCTTCCACCTTCTAAAATATGAAGCTGTTAAGAAGTTAGCTAACGCCGCCGCCGCGATCACTATCCCTATGTAGAGCTTTCTGCGACAATAGTCGCAGGCTCCACAATAAAACTGCCACTCTAGTATAGTATGATAATCTTTAGGGCCCTCCTAATAACCATAATAATGCCTCTGAGAGATATTGGCTAATGATCGCCAATCACTTTTTACCTGTAATCTTCACATCCGACAGAAGTGATCACGCTCAGAACTAATATTTTAGAAATTCTATTCCATTACAACTTACTTTTCGGTAAAGACAATCACCAATTTTGATTTAAAACTAAAACTTTTATTAAATGTACTTTGAAAAATGTAATTTTTTACGAGTCAAACATGTGCTTAAAAGCCTTTATTTTCTATACTTTATATCAGTCTTTTTTTTTTTAAATATGTAATACGCATGCATGAAACTGTCTTCAGCAGATTAGACACTTAATCGTAAGGTAATAATATTAAAAATACAATGATATCCTGTCATTTGATAAATAGAATGAATCCTGTAAATGAATCTGGAATCACTTGGAATTTAGTATTCACTACAAACTTCCGGTTTTTATTTCATCTTCAAAATCGAACGAAGCGTTGGCGATTCCTGAGTCATTAAAATCATTTCAATCTTAAACTGTTGCATTCCATAAACCTTATTGAACGTTTTAAGACAAACAGTAAGAAACTTCATGAAGTAAATGCAATGAAACCAGTCAATACAAGTTCGTCGATGCCATGAATATTGTGTGAATAATTTCAACTGTTTGAAAAAAAGATCTGAAATTTTAAAATGGACTGAAATTGTGTGGAAATTTTTTCAGATCCTTGGATATGGGATATGTCTCAATAAGACAGAAACCATACAATATAGTTAAACCAGAAAAGGCATCTCTATATTCATTCTATTCTATTTTATTTTATTTATTTTCATTGTATTTAAGTTATCTTTATCATTCCCCTTACTGTATGTTGTATGTTGATATTCCCCTTACTGTATGTTGTATGTTGATAGTAATTCATTACATGAAGATAAATTATATGTTATTTCATAATACATATATATATAAACTATAAATAACGCATTACTTCTGTGTAATACACAATCTGATTATATACAAATTACAATAACAAAATGTATATACACAATAAAAATTGTACAAATATATATAGATTAAAACATGATCAACATGATCCAATTAATGTACAAAAGGGAGATAATTTAAAAAAAAAAAAAGACTGATATAAGCTATATGACTTGAGTAACTCCACCAGTTGGTTAACCATTAACAACAAGCAAGACTACAATCATAGAAAACATATATCTCTGAAGCTGAAAAGAAAAAAAAGCTCTCAATATGATCCAATTAATATATAAAAGGGAGATAATTTAAAAAAAAATGATATAAATTATGACTTGAGCTCTAGTTCTTAACTCCACCAGGGATGCTAAGCATTAACAACCTGCAAGCTGAATGGCTATCATTATAGAAAGCACACATCTCTGAAGCAGAAAGGAATAAAAGGCTCAAGGACAACTATTGACTGAAATAATGCCACCACTTACTCTTAGTAACCTGTCCTATATTAAAAGGAGTTACACATTCTCAAAGTAGACTGTAAGAACAACACAACAAGGTTACCTTCTATGTCAACAAGAGTTTTCAAATTGTATGTGAAAATTTAAAAAAAAAAGAAGAGGAAAATAACTGTATGTAATCAAAGTAAGTATGGTATAATCATCCATATTTATGTATTAGAACTTTTGTTTGTACTAATTGATGACATTATAATGCTGATATTATATTTAATGCCTTTGATGATCATATACAACATAACAGCAGTACAATTTTGGCAAGATAGTAACATATGAGTATGAACTCAAATATTTCCATTTTTTGAGAGGCAAAATAAGATGTGTCCTACCATAACAAACTCTGATCAGATCCTCTGTAAAGTATTACATCATATCACAGATTTATATTACACAGTATGTAATACCATACAAAACATCAAGAGCTTATTTACACTTAACACAAAAGAAAGTATTTAAATAGTCACGCAATTATGTGATCTTAAGTTGATAGTTGGTTAATAGTTATAAAAAAAATCAAGGATCTTATAAATGTACAACTAATATCCACTATATAATATCATGCTTGATGTAAATTCTATAAACACAAGTATAGAACAAATTTCAACTTGAACAGATATGTCACTAAAAGTCCTTCTGGTGATATCATATATACAGCTTGTAAAACATCTTATATTTTCTATACATTTACCAATAAAATCTGTGCAAAGATTATTTGTTAAATAGACTTTCACAATCTTAAGATTTCTTTGTGCATAGTTTCTGGAGTCGGTTTCACAAAAATACTTACGAATAAGATTGATCGTAAGTATACTGAGTTGTTCATGACTTACGATCAATCCTAGTCGTAAGTTTTTTGTGAAACCAACTCCTGATATTAAGATTTTGTCAAACCATACCGGTAATTCTTATAATGCATAGCTATTATCAACTTTTTTCACTCATTACATTTTTGAAAAAGCTGAAAATACATCTAATGAAGTGTAATAGAAATGATAATATAATGCCCTCTGCTCATTCTAAGCAACAACAACAAATTATTCTACAAGTTATACTTTTATTTCCAATTTTTAAAAAGTAAACAATACTTAATTCTAATTTCATAAAATCAAATATTTGAAATTCCATTTCTATGAAATAAATATGGAAAATATGTATTTAAAACTGAATGAATGGGATAACTTATTTAATCTTTATACATATAAGTTATTTGTTAAGAATCATTTAATATATCTGATAATTAATTTTCGATTCTATTTGATTGCCAGAGAGATTATTGAGATTTGCCTGTTAGGAAGCCATTGATCATGTGACCAGGTTTAAACCTTCCTTGTTATTTGAACTAATCTGCAATGACTTCTGAATATTCATGAATGATGCAAACTATTACTATGAATAAATATCCATAAAAAGCGGAGAAGATATTTACTCAAAAAATCAATTTAGTGTGTTATTGAAGATAACTCTAAGTTATTCATTGGAACTAAATCCCATATGGTTTTGAGCATAAAAACAAACCCAGTTTGATTGTCTTTACTGTTATATAATTATTAAAGTTAAATAAAAAAATCACTGGGATATATATTTAAATATACCTAAAAGCTATTTCAATGTATTTGTCTGAAACATAATATCATTCTTCACTGTTTTTCAGTCCCAAGAAAATTCCCTACTTCAAAATCAAAACAAAACTATAGAATGTTGATAATTTTATTGTTTATTTACCAAGATGAGATGTTATAATGCCATTTAGTATCCATTGTTTATTTTGTTTTGCACCATTCACTGTTTTGGTGCACTTCGGAAAAACTTTCCCAGAATGCTTGAAATCCTTTAAATGCAAACTACTACAAAAGGGATAAATATATCCATACATCGAATTGGATGTCTGTTACTGGCCATATTAATAATGTATTTGCCAAACTTCAACACAGACATCTTAAATGATGTGCTTAAACTTAAAATCATCGTTTATCAGGGACTTTTCATAATACCCACCAACCACATCAATATTAATTAAAGATTTAATAAAATGCTCCGCAGGGCGCAGCTTGATACGACCGCAGAGGTCGAACCCTGAACAGTTGGGGCAAGTATGGACACATCATTCAAGCTTGATACAGCTCTGAATTTGGATTGTGATTAAATATTTGACACAGCATAGGTTTCTGACACAGAATGAATGTGGTCTAAGAACTTAAAAATTTTAAATTGGACATTCACCTATTATGGTCCAATATCCAAAATCTAAATACATGGTTAGATTCAGCATATCAAAGAACCCCAAGAATTCAATTTTTGATGAAATCAAACAAAGTTTAATTTTGGACCCTTTTGACCTCAATGTGGACAAAGTTGATAACGGGGCCCAAAAATCAAAAATCTAAATACATTGTTAAATTCAGCATATCAAAGAACCCCATATATTCAATTTTTGTTGAAATCAAACAAAGTTTAATTTTGGACCCCGATTTGGACCAACTTGGAAACTGGGCCCATAATCAAAAATCTAAATACATGTTTAGATTCAGCATATCAAAGAACCCTAAGAATTCAATTTTTGTTAAAATCAAACTTAAGTTTAATTTTGGACCCTTTGGACCTTAATGTAGACCAATTTGAAAACGGAACCAAAAATTAAGAATCTAAATACACAGTTAGATTCGGCATATCAAAGAACCCCAATAATTCAATTTTTGATGAAATCAAACAAAGTTTAATTTTGGACCCTTTGGACCTCAATGTGGACCAATTTAAAAACGGGGCCCAAAATCCAAAAACTTAATACACGGTTAGATTCAGCATATTAAAGAACCCCAAGAATTCAAGAATAAAACCCCATTGAAATTGGTCAAGAAATAAGCAATTTATACGAAGTATCTTCTTTTGCAAAATACTGTGCAATTGAATATTTCTTGCTATTGCGCAATACTGCACAATTGACAATTTCTTGCTATTGCGCAATATTGTGCTATTGGATATTTCTTGCTATTGCGCAATACTGTGCAATTGAAGATTTCTTGCTATTGCGCAATACTGTGCAATTGAAGATTTCTTGCTATTGTGCAATACTGTGCAATTGAAAATTTCTTGCTATTGCACAATACTTATTATATAATAATTTACACATCCTGTTTAGTGTGTATCTCCTACCATATCATTATTATTTGCTTTTAAATATAAATCAGAAATAACCAACTTAAAATAGAAAATTTTAAAAGAAAAAAAAAAGGAAAAAAAAGAGAAAAAAAAGAAAAAAAAGGAAAAAAAAAAAAAAAATCCCCCCCCCCAAATTTTTTGAACCTCCTTATGATTCATCACCCCAAAATCAATCCCAGCATTCCCTGTGTGATATGGAACCTTGTGGTACATTTTCAGAGAGATCCATACACTTGAACACAAGTTATTGTCTGGAAACTAGAAAAATGCTTATTTTTGGCCCCTTTTTGGCCCCTTATTCCTAAACGTTTCGGGCAATTACCCCCAAACTCAATTCCAGCTTTCCCTTTGTGATATGAAACCTTGTAGTACAATTTCAGAAAGATCCATACACTTTCACACAAGTTATTGTCATGAAACTAGAAAAATGCTTGTATTTTGCCCCTTTTTTGGCCCCTAATTCCTAATATTTTGAAACAATTACCCCCAAAATCAATCCCAGCATTCCCTTTGTGATATGGAACCTTGTGGTACAATGTCAGAGAGATCCATACACTAACACACAAGTTATGTCTGGAAGTTACAAAAATGCTTATTTTTGGCCCCTTTTTGGCCCCTAATTCCTAAACTGTTGGTACCATAACCCCCAAAATCAATCCCAACCTTCCTTTTGTGGTATTGAACCTTATGGTAAAATTTCATAGAGATCCATTCACTTAAACTAAAGTTAGAGTGCGAAAACCAATGTGTCTTCAGACGACGCCAGACGACGACGCCAACGTCATACCAATATACGACCGCAAAAATTTTTGCGGTCGTATAAAAACACATGCATGAGGTAATTACATAGTATTTTTGTAAAGAAAGTAAAACTTAAGTACAAGATCTACAACACAATAAAAGAAGTTCACTTGTGATGTAAAGTGTTTATATCACATCCCTTTCTTATTTACTGACTTTAATCCATCAACCCAATTATCACATTTAACAAGTCACTAACATGGGAATGAATAGCACTAATAATACTGTGGGTCAGGTCCTGTTGTAATGTTAATAGTACTATGGGTCAGGTCCCATTGTAATGTTAAAGTCCTATGGTTTTATAAACAGCTAATCCACGCCTTCAAAGCCTTCTGTGTTCTCTATTGCTTCTAAAAGTTTCTTCCTTAAGTCATGATAATCATTGTATGGTGGCAAGTCAATGCGGTTAAAGCTACAATAAAAAAAGGATGATTTTAAATGTTTTTATAGAGATCAGGCCAGAATTCCTTAAAAAATTATCATCGTCAGTCTGTTTTGTATTGACTAGCAAGTCAAAATAACAAAAAAATCTTGCAGAAGCTTATTTTAAGATATCTAAGCAAAATCAAAGATTAAAAAAATATTCACTTGAAATTTTCAGATATTTCATACTCCTTTTTGTCCTTTTATGAGCAAAGGACTTTCACAGTACTTATATATATATTCTTGCTCTTCTTTTTTTAACCTAGTAAAATTTATAATAAATGATTCAAAACAATCTTTTATTTTCATGACAAAAGTTATGTATTTAAAGGAAGCACATTGTAAATTGATCATCAATTTGAATATTCTTGAAACCAGCTATCTTGTTTTATCAATCACTAATTAGTGTTTTTCAAATATGCCTTTTGAGAAAATAATACCTAATTCTTATTTTTGTCTTAACTTGAGATTTTTTTTTAAAACAAGATATGATACTGACTTTATACAAACTAGCAACAAGTCTCTATTTACACTAATGAGATATAAGCCTTACCATGTGTGAGCTCGAGGAAACTGGTTAGGGTTGCCCCACTTTTCAATGGTAAATAACTGAGGTCCATTACTTCCATATAGCTCTCTGAAACCATTCATTGGAACTCGTGATGTACCTGTCACAAACTGCAACAATCTGGCACGAGTTTCATTGTTCATGGAGTAAATAGCCTGCAAATGACAAATTAAACAAAAATAAAAACATCTTAAAAAGTGTTTATTTACTACAATAATGTAAAATATGTTCCCTATTGGAATTTTGAAACAAGAATAGGTCAAAGATTCACCAATATTTATCAAATTACCTTCCAGAAGTTTAGAATAACAGGATGATTAGGGTTGTATTCTCCTTTGTAACTTACCTTCCAGAAGTGTAGAATAACAGGATGATTAGGGTTGTATTCTCCTTTGTAACTTACCTTCCAGAAGTGTAGAATAACAGGATGATTAGTTGTAACTTACCTTCCAGAAGTGTAGAATAACAGGATGATTAGAGTTGTATTCTCCTTTGTAACTTACCTTCCAGAAGTGTAGAATAACAGGATGATTAGGGTTGTATTCTCCTTTATAACTTACCTTCCAGAAGTGTAGAATAACAGGATGATTAGGGTTGTACTCTCCTTTGTATGCTGTGTTGGACTTCCAATCATTGACGTCAATATCTTGTAAACCACACATCAGTAACTACAAAAAAGGATTACATGTAATTCTATTCAGTTTTAACGTTCCTATTGAAGGTAAACCCAATTTATCAATAATAGCACTTCGAATCCTTAAGCCTTAATTTATTTTCTAGCACTATATCATTGTGGCTGCTTGATCACTTTTAGTCCTGGAGGATTTCATCAGCCCAGTTATCCATGCTTCTCCCCCGACATGATTTATAATATACAATTCTTAAATTTTCTGTTGATAAACTAAGAAATTATTAAGAAACTTAGGTCCAAATTCACTCAGGCAAAGTTGACTTGAGATGATTTTGGCTATTAAATTTACGTCCATTTGGTCATATAGTTGCACAACTATTTATACATCAATGGCTTTCTAATGTTTGATCTTCAGCGTTCCTGCTGACGGTAAATCTAGAAAAGCACTTAGGACAAACCAAATTTATTAAGTGTTAATTTATCTTATAAACGTTAATTAATCAAATTGTAAGCCCCAGCCCAATTCAAAAATCTGGATCTGGAAAGAAAATCACTGGTAATCCTATCAAAACCAATGCAACATAAAACAAAGAGTTTTTGGAATGTAAAGCTTTTACTCAATAGTGATAAAATCAGGTGTTATACTTTTATAAACTTTAAAAAAAATAGTAAACAGCCTCAAAATTAGATTACAAATGTTATACATCAAATGATATGAAATACGTGTTACTATGAGACAAAGTCTGCATGATATTATTCTTTGACTTGGGTTCTCTAGGTAATGCGGGATATGTCACATCTACTGTCAACAGACTGATAATAAAAAACACAGCAGAAGTACAATAGAAAAAATAATGGTCTCCATGAAAAAAATAATAATATACCTCTAATTCATTTTCATCAAATATCTGAATCATATCTTTAGGTATAAGAGCATAGAAACCCTTTAGGAAAGCTCCCATCTGTTCACGGATTCTCGATTCAAATCTCCATAGTATAACCAAACTGTAAAATAAAGTCATAAACACTATATCTAAACTTTTGACAAAGTATTATCCAGAAAGGATAACAACATTTTCAATAAATATAGAAGTATTTTGAATTGCAAAACAATAACTTAATAAATGGATAATGTGTCCGTGGGACAGATTATGCCCCCGGTTGCAATGTACTAAAGGGACATAATTGAAGAGCGGTAAAAGTGATGCCACCCAAATTTGATCTTGATCTGTGTTTTGTGGTAATAAGTATTGTATAAGTTTCATAACATTTGGTTGAGGCGAACTTAAGTTAGAGAACAGAAAGAAAAATTCAGCAATTTCCATTTGTAAAGGGGCATAACTTGATAACGGTAAAAATGACTGCACCCAAATTCAATCTTGATCTGTGTTTTGTGGTAATAAGCATTGTGTATAAGTTTCATAACATTTGGCTGAGGCAAACTATTTCGGGATGTGCGCAGGGATTTAAAACTGCAGCGGGGGCATAACAAAACATACTCTAAATAATTATGTGTTGATTAATGCATTATCATACATTTCTAATGTCAAATGACCTTGTGCCACTAAGATATATGAATTGAATATTATACTCTTACAACAGTTTGCAAACAATTATCTTACTACGTATAGTTAGTATGTTCAATATTACTGATTTAAAAGTTATGCTAAAAGCTGAACTTTTGGTATATTAAAGGGGCACTAGCTGTCAAATTCATGTGCACCGATTTGACTCAAATTCTCATATTTGATTTATAACAATGTAAAACATTTATCCAAATTATTAAAAGTCTAAAATAAACAATTTACAGAGCATGGGCTCGATAATATGTAGCTTCGTTTCGTGTGTATTTCAGTCTAAACGCCATCTAATTAACTATCGAGTTGACCTCCGAAAACCTCCGATGGCCATATAAGGTATATAAACATAAATATAGATATAAATAGATTAAGCGAACTTGTGCAATTGGATTTTTCTAGGTCTATTTAATTTCATATTATATATTAAAAATATATATTAATCATCGTTTTTACCTGTATAAGAATGATTTTTTGTCAATCGAATCAGTCAATCAAATGATTTACCTTTGTTTCAATTTCAGTGTTGACATTCTTTTCCTTTAAATGACTGACCACGCACGATTCGTGCGTTATCCATCTCTAGCTAAGGGGTTAAATTGAAGTTCACATGAATATAGATTAAATGAGGTCGAATTATTCACTTGCAAGTGAATAATTAATCTTCAATGTTTCTTAGCTTATTTTGTCAAAATTGAACCATACTTGCTGCTAAAAGCGAATTATCATTTCACTATTTCACTTTCATTAATGATTGAACAAAAGAAATCCTATTTCAGATTTTTTATATATCTCGTATCTAGTGCCCCTTTAAGAAGCCATATATGAGGGGCCGAAGGACCTTTTTTGGACGTCGGGATTGGGCCTTTATTTTTGTGGGAATTTGGAATTTACACATATCAAACTCAGGAATTAATGATTAATTTTTTGGGATCCAGAAAGAATACTTTTTTTGGGCGGAATTCGGGATGACACCCCTCCTACCGCCCCTCATGTAAAGTAAACTTTTAATAAAATGCTCCTCTTGGGCACAGCTTGATACGACCGCAGAGGTCGGACCCTGAACAGTTGGGGCAAGTATGGACACAACATTCAAGCTTGATACAGCACTGAATTTGGATTGTAATTAAATATTTGACACAGCATAGGTTTCTCACACAGAATGAAAGTGGTCTAAGAACTTAAAAATTTTTCATTTACCAATTCAAACCATATCATTATTATTTGCTTTTATATATAAATCAGAAATAACCAATTTAAAATGGAAAATTTTAAAGAAAAAAAAGGAAAAAAAAATCCCCCCCAATTTTTTGAACCCCCTTATGATTCATCACCCCCAAACTCAATCCCAGTTTTCCCTTTGTGGTATGGAACCTTGCAGTACAATTTCAGAGAGATCCATACACTTGAACACAAGTTATTGTCTGGAAACTAGAAAAATGCTTGTTTTTTGGCCCCTTTTTGGCCCCAAATTCCTAAACGTTTAGGGCAATTACCCCCAAACTCAAACCCAGCTTTCCCTTTGTGATATGGAACCTTGCAGTACAATTTCATAAAGATCCATACACTTACACACAAGTTATTGTCCTGAAACTAGAAAAATGCTTGTTTTTTTGCCCTTTTATGGCCCCTAATTACTAAAATTTTGAGGGAATTACCCCCAAAATCAATCCCAGCCTTCCCTTTGTGGTATGGTACCTTGCAGTACAATTTCAGAGAGATCCATACATTTGAACACATGTTATTGTCTGGAAACTAGAAAAATGCTTATTTTTGGCCCCTTTTTGGCCCCTTATTCCTAAACTTTTCGGGCAATTACCCCAAAACTCAATTCCAGCTTTCCCTTTGTGATATGGAACCTTGTAGTACAATTTCATAAAGATCCATACACTTACACACAAGTTATTGTCATGAAACTATGAAAATGCTTGTTTTTTGCCCCTTTTTGGCCCCTAATTCCTAAAATTTGGAGGCAATTATCCCCAAAATCAATCCCAGCATTCCCTTTGTGATATGGAACCTTGTGATACAATGTCATTGAGATCCTTACACTTACACACAAGTTATTGTCATGAAACTAGAAAAATGCTTGTTTTTTGCCCCTTTTTGGCCCCTAATTCCTAAAATTTGGAGGCAATTACCTCCAAAATCAATCCCAGCATTCCCTTTGTGATATGGAACCTCGTGGTACAATGTCAGAGAGATCCATACACTTACACACAAGTTATGTCTGGAAGTTACAAAAATACTTATTTTTGGCCCCTTTTTGGCCCCTAATTCCTTAACTGTGGGTACCATAACCCCCAAAATCAATCCCCACCTTCCTTTTGTGGTATTGAACCATATGATAAAATTTCATTGAGATCCATTCACTTAAACTAAAGTTAGAATGCGAAAACTAATGTGTCTTCGGACGACGACTCCGGACGACGACGACGCCAACGTCATACCAATATACGACCACAAAATTTTTTTTGCGGTCGTATAAAAACCTGATAGTGGATGAAAGGTATCTATTTTTTTTGTATTTATAACTATGCTGCATTCAAACAATATTTTTAGCACTATATAATCATGTTAAAAAAAACTGTTTCATCATAAGTATCTAGAATGAAATCCTACTTACTGAATATATTCCAGTTTATTTTTATCTGATACTACAATGTTTGCTCCATCAGGCTTTAATTCTCTTTCTGTCACCTATGTATGTAAAAGTCATATTCTCATAACTTTTAATCCTATGACATCATTATATACCACAAATGTTTCTTCTCCAAATATTTTATATAAAGTCATATTTATGAAAGAACTTTGAAATTATTTTTGTTAAGATTTTGTCAATTCAAAAGCAAAACAAAAATTGTTTGGATGTTTTAAACACAATAATTGTTTTGACTATTCAAATGTTAATGAAGCATTTTATATTTCTCAGGTGGAAAATCAATACTTTAAATCATCAAAAAGAAGTAAATGTCAATTCTATAGAATTTTGACTGTTGACAAAAAAAATAATAAGAAAACAAAGAATATAAATATAAAAAAAGAAGTAATTATATATGAATTGGTGACCAAAAGTTATGTACTCTGACTTAATTTGTTATCTTCTGCAGTGCAGATCAAGACATGTAATTAATCCTGTTTACTGTTAAAGGGGACATTTTCGCACAACAGTTTTTTGGTTATTTGGCTATCTTGAAAAATGCATGAAAATATTCCCAGCTATATGGTTTGTAAAAAAGGAATACTATTGATATGAAGAACTAACTTATTGTTTATGTTGGAATTTATTCCCCATCAAAAAGTTTATACATTGAAATTGCAACTTATATATCTATTTGTACAGTATTGAAATTTAATTTTTTATTTAAGCCATTTTAAAAGACATTGATATCAAACCTACCTCTCCAAAATAGTCCTCTTCAACAGAAAATCTTAGGTCCAAATCTATAGGATCGTTGTCTTTGATCCAACATAATGAATTATAATATTCTGAATCCTACAATATAAACATGGTAAACATTTATACATAAAAGGTTAGGTCACTTTCAGAAAAAAATCTTTAGGCCACACCAATTTGATGTCTAGTTCTTCAGATAAAAGCTCCAAAAAATATGGGGCGAGTGAGCGAAATTTTGTTGTTATTTTTTTCTTGAAAATGAATTTTTTTGAGGCATGTGCTCTACAAGTGAAACGAGTCGTATAATTTCAAAAAAAATGTGTGATTTAGAAGTTGTACAATTTATGTACATGTTATAACTGGGTTACTTCATAGAAAAACAAGGAGAAACAGATGCTCTGATGCATATAATTGATTTATTGGTGCCTGTACCATACCAGACTTTCTTGTCTCACCGTGGTTTAGTTGAATTTGGTTATTTTCTTCAAGTAAGCTTTGTCTGCATGAATTTTCATTTAAATCCAAATATATATTTAGGAAGCATAGCAGATGTAGTTTTATAAGAGGAAGTACGTTAGTTAGGTAAATGACACATGCTGAATAAAATTGAAATATGTGTATGTATCCAAAAAAATGCCCCTGGAAGATATTTGATAGTTTTCATTATATGGTAATGATTGTTTATTGGCTGCTTGACATCCAGTTGGAACTATTTATCCATATTTAGGATCAAAATAAGGAGTGAGGTGAATATTTCTTGCTTTGTACTAAAACAACATCCTGAGTCAGATAGTTATGTTGCTATAAATGTAGATTCCAATGTATCAAAATATTCCCTTAAAATCCCTGTCTCTGCATTCACATGGATTATTCTGACTGAGCAAAATACTCTTTCCTTTTGCTCTTAAAAGCTGCAATGCATTTAAAACTCTTTAGCTTGACTAGAAGTGGTTGAACCAATTACACACCCCTAATTATTATGAGCATGCCAATCACAATACCACCACCTTGGTCTCGTTGAAACTCTTTAAATTCCCCCTAACAAAAGAGTTCTGCTTGCATGCCAAAAGACTAACAAGGGGATATGGGGTTTCATCAAAATCAAATACTTCTGTGATCTTTTAACTAGAGGCTCCAAAGAGCCTGTGTCGCTCACCTGATTCTACTTTGGTTTTGGAAATCATGTTAAAATAGATTAAAATCATAACAGATACCCTAATAATGAGTGAGGCCAAATTTGGTTTGATATTGGCCCTGTAATTTAATAAAAAATCCTGGTGGCCATCTTGAACAGTAAATCAGCAACAAAGTAGCAACACTTCATCAGCACCTCATAAGAAACATTTATGCCATGTTTGGTTTCATTCCATTCAGTGCACCTCTAGAAGAAGCATTTGTATGTATTTCCAATAGGGTCTTATGTTAAAGGAAGTCCCCCTGCTGGCGGCCATCGTGGATGAAGGATCAGCTTCAAAGTAACAACACTTAGTCAGCACCTCATAAGGAACATTCATGCCATGTTCGGTTTCAATCCATTCAGTGGTTCTCTAAAAGAAGACATTTGTATGTATTTCCCATAGGGTCCTATGTTAAACTAAGTCCCCTGCTGGCGGCCATCTTGGATGATGGATCGGCTTCAAAGTAACAACACTTGGTCAGCACCTCATAAGGAACATTCATGCCATGTTTGGTTTCATTCCATTCAGTGGTTCTCTAGAAGAAGTTTAAAATGTAAAAAGTTAACGATGACGACGACGGACGACAATGACGGACAACAACAGAAGACGGACGCCAAGTGATGAGAAAAGCTCACTTGGCCCTTCAGGCAAGGTGAGCTAAAACGTTCATGGGAATAAACAATTAATTTCATCGAAGATAGATAGGTCTATGCCTGTTGAAACAAGGATCGGGGATGACGATGGTTCTAACAAATATTGATGTGATTGGGGTCATCCAACGAAAGATTTTGATTTTGTCTCCTGGAACAGATCTTCAAAGGTAAAACTAGAAGCATTTCAGATAACTGTGTGTTCAATAATTACTTGTCCACGGCAATGAGCTGACACAACTGCATGTTTGCATCCCGATTTTTGACGTTTTATTTACAAATCTACTTATCATATGTGCGTTTGAAACGATCGGAGCAATATATGCAACAGAAAAGCTTCTATGTATCCAAAAAAAAAATTTCAAGGAGAAACTAATTTTGGAGTGGCATGCACACCAAATATTTGCGGAAGCGGTATTTTTTTTTTTTATTGAAAAGTCAATTTCTCCAAAAAAGGAGCGAGAAAATCCATAGAACTAGAAATCGAATTGGTGTGGCCTTATTATAGGTTTTGAAACTTGGAAGGTGCAAGGTTTCCCGAGCCTTTCGACAGCTTTGTGCAAAATACATTAAAGTTGACGTTTTCAGAAATTGGTCTAATATTGCTTTCTCCTGCAGTAATAAAATGCTACAATAAAAATCATTGAAGTGTTAATGGTATATGTATTACTTTACTGGGCCTATTCCAAAGAATTTGCCCTTTCACAGTACCAATTTGCCAAAATATTTTTCTAAGCTGCAGTTCAAACTGATCCACTTGTGAAATGGTTTAGCTTGATGCTATTGAAAGGTTGTTAGTTTCCAGACTTAAGATAATTTCCATAAAAATCATACTCAATCTTAACTGCTTTAATGATATATAAAGAAACATCCTATTTAACAATTGATGTTACAATGTGTAAAACATAATAGTGACACCTACCACAGATTCCATATCTGGTAATAACATGGTTTTTCCTAACATCATCTTGTAAAAAGGACGAATAAAAAATCCTGAAAGAAAAAGACATAATATAATTTAAAAGATGACAATAACTGCCATGTACGTCAGTTCTCAGATTTGAAGAAAAGTTCCATACATGTATTATCTCTTAAAAAAATGTCATTCTTAATGTAAAATTGATTAATTATCTTCAAAAAAAAACAAATAACAAACACTCTGAGACTGAAATACCAATTCTTACATAGATTGTTAAGTCATTTTAAACTAATCATTACTTTACCAGTTCATCAGTAAATACCATCTAATTTTTGAACTTTTGTCATTTCATCATCAGACTTCTAGCACGACCATTCTAATGCCAGACACCTTAGATATTAATTAAGTTCATACCACACTGAAAGTTATCTGTGTTTAATCTGTTACAATTACAGTGGTATGAGACAAAGTTCACCTTCCATTGTAATATAGATGTTGTCTGACAAAGGGAGACAACTTCCTGTATCAGATATCAACAATTATTTAGTTAGAACTTACCATCTAATAATTTGCCATGATAAACTGCCATGCCTGCTACTTTTCCAATGAATTCAAAATATCTTAAATGTTCCTCATTAAATAATCCAGATAATGGATTAATCTGTAAGGTGTAATTATCTCTGAAAAAATAAATAATTCTTTTATAATGAGATGCTCGACTTTAAAAACACGACAGAAGCTGCAGACTATTCATCAATGAAATAGCAACCTTTTACACAAACAATCAAAGAAATCTAGCGGTCAACATATATGGTCTAAAACAATAGCAACTATCTATACAATTTGTCAAGCTCTAAAATGTTTGGATAACAGGGATTATTACATCTAAAATGTTTGGATAACAGGGATTATCACATCTAAAAAGTTTGGATAACAGGGATTATCACATCAAGATCTGCCACAACACTAAATCCTAAAGTGACAAAAAATATAAAGAAATAACATATGAAAATCTGTTAGTTTCAAGTAAGGGCTATTCCACTAAAATATATGTGGGAGGGTAGGAACGGAAGTTTAATTATTGAATGTGGGTCATGGGTCTTTTTTCAGTATGCATCTATTACCATTATGCAAAATTATCTAAATAAACTGTTACCACAGAGATATGTCTCGCCTATTTGTTATTTTGTTATTTTGATAATGCAAATGTTGAAATTAAAATAGCAATACTTTAACATGTAAGTTATTCAAATATTCAAAGTCAATGAACCATGACTGAAGGTACAGGGCTAAACAATCTCCATGGAAATGAGATGTGCCAATGCTAATACAACTGCAAACCAAATACCATTGACTTTTCATAAGTCGTTCCCTTTAAACAAACCTAAACACAAACATTAACTTGTAAACTATGTAAAAGTTTCAAAGTCAATGAACCATAATTAGGGGGCGGGGTTATATAATCTCCATGGAAATGAAACTTGCAAATACCAATACATTTGCATACCGAATATCATTGACTTCACATTATTGGTTCATCTTAAACTGACCTAATCACAAACTAATACATGTAAACTAAGCAAAAGTTACAAAGTCAATAGACCATGAATGAGGGGGCGGGGCCAAATAATCTCCATGGAAATGAGATATGCTAATGCTTATACAACTGCATACCAAATATCATTGACCTACCACTAGTGGTTCCCCATAAACTGACCTAATCACAAACTAATACATGTAAACTATGAAAAGTTTCAAAGTCAATAGACCTTGACTGAGGGGGTGGGGCCAAATAATCTCCATGGTAATGAGATGTGCCAATGCTAATACAACTGCATACCAAATATCATTGACCTACCACTAGTGGTTCACCATGAACTAGACCTAATCACAAACTAATACATTGTGGCTGCGCCGCCGGAAACAGCATACCTATGTCTCGCTTTTTGACCCTGTCAAGGCGAGACAAAAATGATTCTTGGTTGTAGCAATATTTTGAAAGTCCCTTCCTACCCTTCCACATACATTTTAATGGAATAGCAAAATAAGGGAATAAATTTTGACAGACAGAGTAAACATGGCATACAAACCCAATTCTGTGATATGAACATAATATTGGTATAATGTGTATACTTACGTAGCAGAGTTTTCAAACAGTCCATAAAAAGGATTAAACATTTCTTTAGACAATAAATAAAACCATTCTCTAGCTACACCTCCATAATCTAATCCTACTTCACCTTCAAATTCTATCCACAACCTGAAACAAAGTATAGCCAAATGTATTCTTACAAGTACTGTAAATTCACAAACTATTGCGTGCATTTATCATTGCGAATTTTGTAGAATGAACTAAAATGCGAGATTAATTATTGCAATTTCAGGAAAATCTGCATACAGTTATATGTATCAGATATAAGAATGCAAGTTCTTATTATTGTGATACAAGTTCAGTCACATTATTCCCATTAATAAAAACCTCGCAATAATTTCTCAATTTACAGTACATTTACGTAAACAGAAAAATAAATCTGATAATCATTTTGTTCTACAGTAGGTATCATTTAACCTTTTGCCATGTAAAAGAGTAGACATTTTACTATTTGTGTGGCACAACAGTCTAATTATCTTTTACTCTCAAATCATTAAAATACCAACCCCTGCATGGTCTCTAGGTGATGTGCTTACCACAAGTGCAGGAGTTCAGGGTTCCTAATGATTGATAATCAACCATGTGCTATTTAGGAGTCAGAGCAAAGACTGGTTGGCACAACCCAAAACAGAGGTGAATTGTCTTATATCAGAATGTTACCTTATGAGCTAGTATATTAAAAATCCAAATCAACATGTTGATATAGTACATAACAGGGTAAATTCATACATCCTTAACTTGTTTTCCTGAATATACATGAAATATTTGCAACTGGATGTTAAGAAACCATATTGATGTTTAGATGTTTAATCATATATCACTTAAACATCTTTAATTTTCACTTATGATTTTTTAATTACAAAGACAAGATGATTAAGTACATATTTCTCATTTTTCTTATTAAACAAATTATGTTCAAAGCAAGCTCTGCTGACCTGAAAGTAAAACCCCTATTTATGTCAATACAACTTTATGCTGAAGTTGTTTTAGTCTCTTTTGTGTCTGATATATAAATGAAACTCTAAACTACTTACCTGGCCTTTAAGAAATCTATTCTTTTAATGCTTGAAATTACTCTATAGGAATCTTCAAAAATTCTTTCTCTTGTAACTTTTATATCAACCTTATTTGGTATATTTTGCTGAAATATAAATAATATTTAAAGCACAGATCCATTGTTCTAAAGAGCTCATATTTAGAAATAATGTGGCATGACATTGCAAAATAAATGATTCTTGGTTACCTAGACCAAATTTTTTTTGGGGAGAGGAGGGGGGGTGGTGTTTGTAATTGGTCTATGAATTGTCAACCTTATACATTCTTTATATCTGAATGGAATCATATTAATCGGATTTTAATATTACCTAATATAGTTAGACTAATAACTAAAGTACTTACTGGTCTCCTAAGCTATTAACTGAATTACTTACTGGTTTCCTTAGACTACTAACTGGAGTACTTACTTATCTGAGTACTTATTGATCTTGTTAAACAATTAACTATATTACTTACTGGTTTCCTTAGATTATTATTTTGTTCGACTATTAACTAAATTACTTACTGGTTTCCTAAGCTTTGACCTGAAGTAATCATGTTTTCTTTTATAGTCTCTAGAATATGGAACAGCCTATAAAAAAAAGCCAATAAAAATAAATGAGTCTTTTTTAGAACAACACAATGTAAAATAACATACTGTTTTTGTTGGTAAACTTTTCAATACTAGTATAAATAATTATAATAATACAAACACTACTGATCTTTGTCAATATTAAAATCATTTCTATTTAAATTGTGATGCGTCATCATTTTCTAATTTCAATTTATCAGGGTGCTGCTTCAAGGACCACAACTTAACAGCACCATTTTCAAATTTTAATAATAGTCCAATTGCTCCAATACTTGGTAAAATATCAATAAAATCTGATGAATAAACTGTTGACACAGAGATATGTCTCACCTGTCGGCAGAAAATTCAGAAAAAGACAATCTGAAGTACAGCAACATTGCTAAATAAATGAAAGTTGCTGGACCATGACCCAGGAGACAGGGCCTCAGAATAGTTGTCAAACAGATAGTGTAGTGATAGTATTGCAACTTTATAGAAAATATCATTGATCTATCACAAGTATTTCCTATCAAACTAACTTAATCAGAAAACTAAACATTTAAAATTGCTTGTTAATTGAAAGTCACTGGACCATAACATAGGGGACAGGGCCTCAAAATAGTCATCAAATTGATATGTACTGATAGAAGTAAGTTTTTATTGAAAATATCATTGATCTTTCACAAGTAGTTCCTATCACATGGCCTTCAGCAGAAAACTTAACTTTGAAAATTTCTAATTAATTCAGTCCTAGGGGCCAGGGCCTTGAAATAATAATCAAAATGATATGTACTGAAAGTAATGTAACTTTATCGAAAAGATCATTGTTTTATCACTGATAGTTCCTATCAAACTGACCTAAGCAGAAAACTTGACATTAAAAATTGCTAATTAATTCAGTCACTGGACCATGACCTAGGGGGCAGGGCCTCAAAATTGTTGAAGCCATCTTTGTCGTAGCCGCCGGCAAAGCAACACCTACGTCCTGCCTTCCATGACTTTTCATCGCAGGAAAGACAAAATTAACATCTTATTTTACTTTCAAACTTGAAGGAGAAATGAAGGTAACTAATGATATGCACTATTCTATTAATAAATAATCAGCATGGCCCAGTGTCTAATATTAGTCTCTTTATTCAGAATTAGCATGGCCCAGTGTTTAATATTAGTTATACTCTTTATTCAGAATCAGTATGTCACCAGTGTTTAATGTTAGTCTCTTTATTCAGAATCTGTATGTCACCAGTGTTTAATATTAGTTATACTTTTTATTCAGAATCAGTATGTCACCAGTGTTTAATGTTAGTTATATTCTATATTCAGAATCAGTATGTCACCAGTGTCTAATGTTAGTTATATTCTTTATTCAGAATCAGTATGTCACCAGTGTTTAATGTTAGTCTCTTTATTCAGAATCAGTATGTCACCAGTGTTTAATGTTTGTCTCTTTATTCAGAATCAGTATGTCACCAGTTTTTAATGTTAGTTATACTCTTTATTCAGAATCAGTATGTCACCAGTGTTTAATATTAGTTATACTCTTTATTCAGAATCAGTATGTCACCAGTGTCTAATGTTAGTTATATTCTATATTCAGAATCAGTATGTCACCAGTGTTTAAAGTTAGTTATACTCTTTATTCAGAATCAGTATGTCACCAGTGTTTAATATAAGAGATACTTACAGGACCACCTAATTTTTTTAATCTTGGATCTTCCCATTGTGTTGTTTTATTGTCTGTAAAAATACAAAATCCATTTCATTTCACAAATTCACTTAAAGTACACAATAAAATGATTAATTAACAAAACATTTATAAGTGACATCTAGTATAGGTTTTTGAGGAACAATCCAGCATATTTTAAATTAAATACAGAGTATAGTTAACCTTTTTGGTTTTATTTTGTGGACTTTAATATATGTTTTTAAATCAGTCCACTTTCTTCTTTGTGCAGTTTAATATGACTGCCTACTTACTAGTGAAATAACAATCAGTTTTGTCAGTAAGTTTTGTTGGCAAGCTCTTACTAGTGAAATAACAATAAGTTTTGTCAGTAAGTTTTATTGGCAGGTTCTTACTAGTGAAATAACAATGAGTTTTGTTAGTAAGTTTTGTTGGCAGGCTCTTACTAGTGAAAAAACAATGAGTTTTGTCAGTAAGTTTTATTGGCAGGCTCTTACTAGTGAAGTAACAATCAGTTTTGTCAGTAAGTTTTGTTGGCAGGCTCAGTTTTGTCAGTAAGTTTTATTGGCAGACTCTTACTAGTGAAGTAACAATCAGTTTTGTCAGTAAGTTTAATTGGCAGGCTGTGGTTAACCTTGAACCTTCTCGGCTCTTAATTTAAGAAATGGACAGAAAACAAATCTCTTTGGAAAATTTAATTGTGTGGCCTTTACAGCTCAGTATTCCAATAAGTCAAGTATTTTTAGTGTTCAGTTTAAATGGTAAAATTTTACTTTAATCGTTCAACAGTTTCACACAAATTCATTTCGAGTGTTCATTATGACTATTTACAAAGCAAGTTGAATATGTAAGCTTCTGGTGAACTTCATATAAATGTTTATCTTGTAATTCTACACTCTGTCAAACCCTGTACCTGGACATAAAACACTTTAAACAGACCAATAATACTTACTGTGGTTAATATAAAACACTCTACCATCTGCATGGGTTCTCTCTTCCCAACTAGGCTGCAACATAAAACCATAACTGATTAATGACAAATAACACAAGAACAATAGATATGTGAAAAGAAAAAACATGACTTTTTACACATGAATAATATATCATGACCTATTACACATGAATATTATTCATATGTAATTATTCATGATATTTATTAATTCATCATACACTTAGCATTAATATGATAGATTAAGAATATGTGTAACCAGTGGAAGTAAACTAGGCATACGATTCAAACCCAGGCTGATAACTCAGGGGCCATTCGTGCAAATAACCTGTTACAGTGCCTCTCGCGCAAGTTACTTCCGATATTTCCGGTGTCTTCTGTTTACAAATAATATCTGACACACAAAGACATGATAGAGGGTGATCGATTTATTACTGTTGCTGTGCTTATTGAACAGACAAATTGCATTGACCATATATTCATATATAATAAACAGTCACTGACCGTATATCTCCTTGTTTATAACATTGACAATGCGTTTCCGTAGAGTTTTATTTATAACGTCAATAAAGAATACAAGTTCGTGGAATTTTTACATCGTCCACTTCAAACTAACAATGATGGTTATTACCCAAAATATGGGTCTGATATGGGGGTCTTGTGATAATACCTGCGGCGATATGGAACAGGCCATGTATTAATCTCTAAGATAATATATATCATGACATATTACACATGAATAATATAGCATGACATGTAACACAAAGAACAATATATCATAACATATTACACAAAGCACAATATATCATGACATATTACATAAAGCACAATATATTATGACATATTACACAAAGCACAATATATCATGACATATTACACAAAGCACAATATATCATGACATATTACACAAAGAACAATATATCATAACATATTACACAAAGAACAATATATCATGACATATTACACAAAGAACAATATATCATGACATATTACACAAAGAACAATATATCATGACATATTACACAAAGAACATTATATCATAACATATTATACAAAGAACAATAAATCACGATATATTACACAAAGAACAATATATTTGATATTTGAGAGATGTAAACAAACAAGATTCTGAATAAGGCAAGAGCCGTGTTAAACTAGTCACATCTAATTTGCAGGTAAAGGTCCTAAACTTTGTAACAACTACAACACATTAAACTTACAGGTAAAGGACCTAAATTTTGTAAAAGATCTTCATTAGATGATGGTCTTTGCATTACACCAGGAGAGTCACTGACAGAATGGAGCCGCATACTTCCTGATCTGTTGATTCTTCGGGGATCCTCCTGAAATTGTATCAATGACAATCAAATTCTTTTCATATTCTTTAAAATAACTAATAAATCTATTAATAAAGAGAATATTACTTCTTTACACCTTATTACACTATTATAAATAAAAGAATCCTAAAAACTATTTGTTTATAAAAATTTTATTTTTAGACAACTTTTACTTTGAGTATTATCAAGCGTCATTTTGTCAAATGATTTTGGTCATTTTTGAGGACTTCAAAGTTTGTTCATTTCTTCTAACTGACAAATTCATACTAATAGTCATGGCATAAATGGAACTTTAATCAACAGTTGCACAGCAAAACAACATGACAATTTGTGGAAAGCAGGTGCTTATTATAGAAAAGAAGACTGTTTCCAGATCCTTGAGTATTACATATTGCTACCTCTATTAACCTACCCAAGAAGTTGTTTTATTGTTATGGTCAATGTAGAAGACTTTGCCATTGGGTGCTGTCCCCATTCCCCATCCAGGTGGAAGTGGCTCTTCATCTGTATTGGCTGGAGAACTGTCTCTACTATTACTTGCAGTTCTATGACTATGGCGCTGTAAAATAAATACAATTTTTATCTGAATATCCATTTGTATATGAAAAATCAAAATAAGAACTCCAAGAGAAAGTTTCACACAAAAAATTAGGATTAAAAAAATGAATATAAGTTAGAACGCAGTAAATTTATAACGTGTTGTGTTAATTTTTTTGTTAACTTCGTGGAAGATATGACTTCTTCCTACTAATGGGAACATGATTAAATTCTTGCTATTCTTTCCTTTATCTCATTAATCAGTTGGATCTGTTTTGAATCACTCATTCTGTAAGTAAAATTTATCTTTCATGATAGCTAGTTCCTAATATGCATTATGAACAGTTGTGACTGTATAGTCAGATATCTCAAGACAAATTATACATGTCATTCTTTGAGTTTGATATCTCATGACAAATTATACATGTCATTTATGGAGTTTGATATCTCAGAACAAATCATACATGTCATTCTTTGAGTTTGATATCTCAAGACAAATCATACATGTCATTTTTGGAGTTTGATATCTCAAGACAAATCATACATGTCATTCTTTGAGTTTGATATTTCAAGACAAATCATACATGTCATTCTTTGAGTTTGATATCTCAAGACAAATCATACATGTCATTCTTTGAGTTTGATATCTCCAGACAAATCATACATGTCATTTTTGGAGTTTGATATCTCAAGACAAATCATACATGTCATTCTTTGAGTTTGATATCTCAAGACAAATCATACATGTCATTCTTTGAGTTTGATATCTCTAGACAAATCATACATGTCATTCCTTGAGTTTGATATCTCCAGACAAAACATACATGTCATTCTTTGAGTTTGAAATCTCAAGAAAAATCATACATGTCATTCTTTGAGTTTGATATCTCAGGACAAATTATACATGTCATTCTTTGAGTTTGATATCTCAAGACAAATTTTGAGTTTGATATCTCAAAGACAAATTTTGAGTTTGATATCTCAAGACAAATTTTGAGTTTGATATCTCAAGACAAATTTTCAGTTTGATATCTAAAGACAAATTTTCAGTTTGATATCTCAAGACAAATTATACATGTCATTCTTTGAGTTTGATAAAGCATTTATATCAAATATAAGGGCGGTGAATAAATTATGTCCAGTCTGAAAGTTGTACACTTTGGTGACCAGTTCATTTTTTGCCTTTGAAATATTATTTTATTTCAATACCGCTCCTTACAAAATCTTAAATCAGCTTAAATATAGTACATTTACATTAAAGATGACACAAAAACCATTTGCATATTTCCAAGTATCTAATAATAAAAAAATGCGGATAGTGTCCACATGTGGACACAGATGATGCCCCCGCTTGCATATCACATAGTTATAAAGGGACATAACTGAAGAACGGTAAAAGTGACGCTACCCAAATTTGAACTTGATCTGAGTTTTTTGGTAATAAGCATTGTGTGTAAGTCTCATAACATTTGGTTGAGGCTAACTTAAGTAGAGAACAGAAACTAATAAAATGCTTCGCTGGGCGCAGCTTGATACGACCGCAGAGGTCGAACCCTGAACAGTTGGGGCAAGTATGGACACAACATTCAAGCTTGATACAGCTCTGAATTTGGATTGTGATTAAATATTTGACACAGAATAGGTTTCTGACACAGAAAGAATGTGGTCTAAGAACTTGAATTTTTTTAATTTACCTATTATGGTCCAATGTCCAAAATCAAAATACATGGTTAGAATCAGCATATCAAAGAACCCCATACATTCAATTTTTGTTGAAATCAAACAAAGTTTAATTTTGGACCCCAACTTGGACCAACTTGAAAACTGGTCCCATAATCAAAAATCTAAACACATGTTTAGATTCAGCATATCAAAGTACCCGAAGAATTCAATTTTTGTTAAAATCAAACTAAGTTTAATTTTGGACCCTTTGGACCTTAATGTAGACAAATTTAAAAAACGGGACCCTAAATTAAAAATCTAAAAACACAGTTAGATTTGGCATATCAAAGAACCCCAATAATTCAATTTTTGATGAAATCAAACAAAGTTTAATTTTGGACCCTTTTGACCTCAATATGAACCAATTTGATAGCGGGCCCACAAATAAAAAATCTAAATACATGGTAAGATTCAGCATATCAAAGAACCCCATATATTCATTTTTTGTTGAAATCAAACAAAAGTTTAATTTTGGACCCCAATTTGGACCATCTTGAAAACTGGGCCAAAAATCTAAAATCTCAATACATGTTTAGATTCAGCATATCAAAGAACCCCATATATTCAATTTTTGTTGAAATCAAACAAAGTTTAATTTTGGACCCCAACTTGGACCAACTTGAAAACTGGTCCCATAATAAAAAATCTAAACACATGTTTAGATTCAGCATATCAAAGAACCCCAAAATTTCAATTTTTGTTAAAATCAAACTAAGTTTAATTTTGGACCCTTTGGACCTTAATGTAGACCAATTTAAAAAACAGGACCCAAAATTAAAAATCTAAATACACGGTTAGATTTGGCATATCAAAGAACCCCAATAATTCAATTTTTGATGAAATCAAACAAAGTTTAATTTTGGACCCTTTTGACCTCAATATGAACCAATTTGATAGCGGGCCCACAAATAAAAAATCTAAATACATGGTAAGATTCAGCATATCAAAGAACCCCATATATTCAATTTTTGTTGAAATCAAACAAAGTTTAATTTTGGACCCCAATTTGGACCAACTTGAAAACTGGGCCAAAAATCTAAAATCTAAATACATGTTTAGATTCAGCATATCAAAGAACCCCATATATTCAATTTTTGTTGAAATCAAACAAAGTTTAATTTTGGACCCCAACTTGGACCAACTTGAAAACTGGGCCCATAATCAAAAATCTAAACACATGTTTAGATTCAGCATATCAAAGAACCCTAAGAATTCAATTTTTGTTAAAATCAAACTAAGTTTAATTTTGGACCCTTTGGACCTTAATGTAGACAAATTTAAAAAAGGGACCCAAAATTAAAAATCTAAATACACGGTTAGATTCGGCATATCAAAGAACCCCAATAATTCAATTTTTGATGAAATCAAACAAAGTTTAATTTTGGACCCTTTGGACCTCAATGTGGACCAATTTAAAAACGGGGCCCAAAATCTAAAAAATTAATACACGGTTAGATTCAGCATATTAAAGAACCCCAAGAATTCAAGAATAAAACCACATTGAAATTGATCAAGAAATAAGCAATTTATACGAAGTATCTTCTTTTGCACAATACTGTGCAATTGAATATTTCTTGCTATTGCGCAATACTGTACAATTGACAATTTCTTGCTATTGCGCAATATTGTGCTATTGGATATTTCTTGCTATTGCGCAATACTGTTAAATTGAAGATTTCTTGCTATTGCGCAATACTGTGCAATTGAAGATTTCTTGCTATTGTGCAATACTGTGCAATTGAAAATTTCTTGCTATTGCACAATACTTATTATATAATAATTTACACATCCTGTTTGGTGTGTATCTCCTACCATATCATTATTATTTGCTTTTAAATATAAATCAGAAATAACCAACTTAAAATGGAAAATTTTAAAAGAAAAAAAAAAGGAAAAAAAGAAAAAAAAAAAAAAAAAAATCCCCCCCCCCCCAAATTTTTTGAACCCCCTTATGATTCATCACCCCCAAACTCAATCCCAGCCTTCCCTTTGTGGTATGGTACCTTGCAGTACAATTTCAGAGAGATCCATACACTTGAACACAAGTTATTGTCTGGAAACTAGAAAAATGCTTATTTTTGGCCCCTTTTTGGCCCCCAATTCCTAAAAGTTTCGGGCAATTACCCCCAAACTCAATTCCAGCTTTCCCTTTGTGATATGTAACCTTGTAGTACAATTTCAGAAATATCCAAACACTTACACACAAGTTATTGTCATGAAACTAGAAAAATGCTTGTTTTTTGCCCCTTTTTTGGCCCCTAATTCCTAAAATTTTGAGGCAATTACCCCCAAAATCAATTACAGCCTTCCCTTTGTGATATGGAACCTTGTGGTACAATGTCAGAGAGATCCATACACTTACACACAAGTTATTGTCTGAAAGTTACAAAAATGCTTATTTTTGGCCCCTTTTTGGCCCCTAATTCCTTAACTGTTGGTACCATAACCCCCAAAATCAATCCCAACCTTCCTTTTGTGGTATTGAACCTTATGGTGAAATTTCATGGAGATCCATTCACTTAAACTAAAGTTAGAGTGCGAAAACCAATGTGTCTTCGGACGACGCCGGACGACGACGACGACGACGACGACGACGACGACAACGACGACGACGACGACGCCAACGTCATACCAATATACGACCAAAAAATTTTTAATTTTTGCGGTCGTATAAAAATTCAGCAATTTTTCTATTTGTAAACACGCATAACTCTAGAATGGTTGTGTATAAGTTTTATAACATTTGGTTGAGACAAACTAAAGTTAGAGAACGGAAACGAAAAATTCAGCAATTTTTATGTTTATAAAGGGACATAACTCAAGAATGGTAAAAATGTCGCCACCAAATTTCGTACTTAATCTGCATTATGTAGTAATAAGCATTGTGTATAAGTTTCATAACATTTGGTTGAGGCAAACTAAAGTTAGAAAACAGAAACAAAAAATTTTACTTGATTTTAGTTTTGTGGTAATGAATATTGTTTATAGGTTTCATAATGTTTGGTTGGGCCAAACTTTAGTTACAGAATGGAAACTAAAAATTTTACAATCTTTCGATTTATAAAGGGCCTAACTCAATAATGGTTAAAGTGACACTACCCAAATTCAACTTGATCTGTGTTTTATCAGTGGAAGTCAAAATTAAACATTGCATTGTATAAAGCATTGATTGAAGTTGATTCAACTATAATCATGGACAAAGGAAGATTACTCCAATTTTAATAAAATGCTCCGCAGGGCGCAGCTTGATACGACCACAGAGGTCAAACCCTGAACAGTTGGGGCAAGTATGGACACAAC